ATGCTATTGGTTGGAGGTTGGTGAATATACATATACGTTACAACGTAGTGAAAATACCTGTTGCAACTATCCTTTTCAAAATAATATTAACATGAAGTACAGTACCTGTCTCTTATACACATCTATATATATATATATGTATATGTATATATCCATATCAAAGCACAGGCTTATGTGTTATGTCCTGTTATAGTTTTGGTATTGAAAGAGAAATATACTTTACAAACAAAATCAAAATGAGACACTGATTAATCGTAAACAAAGTACGAGTAAACCGATGAGACCATGGAGGAATTAGTAAACTAATGGTTGCACATTGTCAAGAATAACAGTCACTTGACAATGATAAACTCATATTCTACAAACAAAATCATTAGTAGAAATTACAAATATGATCGTTACGTCTGGATGCAATCATACAGTAGCCTATACATACATATATTCATACTTTTAAACCAAAAACTTATATTAAATGCTGGACTATTGGAAATTAAGTACTAAACAATTGGTGCCCAAATCCGTCTAATTTGATTTAATCTCATTATTAGAAAAACAATGTTCGATATTTAATAATTCTTTAAATGTACGTTGAATCCTTAATGGTAGGCTGATATAGATAAATAATAGGCCCGATGGAATTACTGTAAAATTAGTGAGGTTTTCTCATGAATACCATGGTGTTTACACGCTTTAGTTCACATTCATGACACGAATGCTATCCTGTAGTTTTAACGACAATACTAAATTCGCTCTCAAATGGTTTGAACACGGTTGAAATACAATGGATCTCTAAAGTTATCGATCTTGGATATTTACCCACCGTATTGAATTAAGCTTTGCCTATTCACACTAACACAACACATGGGCGTTATTCAGATGAACCGAATAATAAAAAAAAAAACAATTGGTCAGCGAGCTGCATGGATGACTCAGTTGAGTATCGATGAGCAAATATTTTGGGTGGGTTTCTTTATCCTCATTAACCCAAAAAGTTGATGATAAGTTTTATCATCTTATTTTTATAAATATTAAATTTTGATATATTATTGTACACCAATTAATAACATTGACATGACGTTTTCTACAGCTTTGCTTATGAAAATAGTTCTGTCGGACCATAAGAATGTTGTGTTTAGCCTAACGTCACGCTTTAAAGTACAGAATGTACCAATAGGCCTATATTTTAACATTCAACGATTGTAATTATCCGAAATTATTAGCCCTACTATGGAACTATGGAAACACGCTAGCTACTTTACTATTTACGTACGAAGTTTTTCCTTTAATCGTAAATGTTCTTGTCTGAAATAATGTTAAAATATCGAGATCACGTCAAAATTATTATAGTATAGGTTTAGTAGTGGGCCTAATGCCTATTCTTTAAAAGCGTGTATATTTATATAGGCCTAGGCCTAATATATTACGCATATTTATAAAATAAAATGTATATTATAATATGGACAACAATATGATATGCTGACACCCATGAATATTATCCTCTGCTGGACATATTATTATTTAATAAAACGCACGAAGTTGTTAAGACACCTTGCCACCATGACCAATAGTAGACTCTGCAATGGGGTCCATACATTTCCTTATTGATGTTAACTTGCTTATATACAAACATTTTATGTTATTCAACATATTGAGCCTGTAACTCAAAATATGCCTATCTGGAAAACTATATAACATAAAAATAATAATAGGAAATTGTTTGAAGATTTACATGGTAAAGTAACAATAGGCTACTACGCGTAGATAACTCTGAAAAGAACTGTTTGCAGTTCTTTTCAAAATAAAATAATAATTATAATAGGCTATCATACTGCGTTATGGGAACAACAGTTACCAAGTAGTAGTAGTTAACACAAGACGGAACAATAGCAACTCTTTAGCTATTTGTTGACATTTAATAATGTCCGTAAAATTACTTGTCAGCCGGATATCACCACAAAATGGGAATGGGATGACACAAAACGTCTTGAGAAAATTTCAAGAATGATAATATGCTATTGGTTGGAGGTTGGTGAATATACATATACGTTACAACGTAGTGAAAATACCTGTTGCAACTATCCTTTTCAAAATAATATTAACATGAAGTACAGTACTGTACTGCGTTGTGGGAACAACCGTTGTTAACTTAGATACACAATATCAACGGTGGACCATAGGTAGGCCTACAGTAATTCATTCATTCATTCATTCATTAACTTTTATTTCAGACAATGTCCATATAAAATAATAAAAAAATAAATACCAGTATAAGTGCATGGCAAGTACAACAAACTAGCTTTAAAAAAACTGCTGTCTGTAACAGAAAGCCACCCAATGTTTTATTCATTCAGAAAAATAGCAATTTACATAATTTTTTTGAAAAATATTAGAGCACCAAAGACATCAAAAATCTATTTTTTTTAACATTTGAGAATTTAACTTGTAAAATTACCGTTATGGTTTCTTATTTTAAAAAAGTAGACAGAACTGTGTTAGTCTAGTAAGGTTGACGTATAAAATAAAAACACGTCATGTGCTTCTTTACTGACTGAAGCGGAATCTTGAAAATGACTCTCCAGTACGCTGATAATAACATTATATTATATTCCATTGCATTATAATTCTAACATATTTAACTGTATAAGGACTACGTAATTTGAAATCTCATTATTTATATTACGCTTAATCAATAATAATGAACGATGTGATCAGCACAGAGGAAACGGTGTGTACTTGTTCCCATGGCAACATATTTAATCATACCGGAGACTGAATACACAGGTATACATTTTGAGCATAATTTCCTATAGAATCAACAGGTTGTCTTTTGGGTTACTTTGCTCTGATATTCGAGGTTTACACCACATCAGCTGCGACTTCGTGTGGTGAAAAAATTATTAATGTCAGAGGCATACATCTTTTTATATTAATTTATTTATTTTTCTTTTCTACCAATTGTAAATTATTTGTTATGAAAAAAGGAAATGTGGAATAAATTGATGATTGTTGATTGAACAACTTTTTGGCACCTGAGTTCCCAGAAATAGATGCTGGCCACCTGTCCCCTTGAATGGACAGTCACAATATTTAAAGTTACCATGAGGATGGAGTGTATACCCACCTCAGCCCCACCTATTTGGGAAATATGGCGCACCTGTGGATGCCCAGGAATAGCAGCTGGCAAACCTGTAGAGCCTCACCATTTTCCATCCTGTATGTGGGCAGACACGATTTAAAGTGGGACTAAAGCTCCTAACCACCTCAGCTATAATATAGGCCTAATGCAATACGACATAATATAAGATACAATCTTACAATACAATACAACAAAATCATAAGACAATTTCATTTAATTTATTTCGTCCAAAAGACATTAAAATTGACAAACACAAGATAACAGAGAGCAAAAAACAACACTCAGTTGGCCGGACAGGATTGCCAAAAAACGTGAACTGAATCACTGTCTAGTGGCTCTCCGATGCCAATGAATTGAATGTAATATAATAAATGTAATACCACTTAATATGATATGATGTGATATATTTATGATATATTATATCACAGGCCTATCATCATATAATAATTATCATATCAAACTGTATATCAGATTGTATATTATTACATTAATATATTACATTAATAGAATATATGATATGATATAATTATAATATAGGCCTATTATAACAAAAAAACAGGCACATTGAAGAATTACATTATTAGCAAATAATTGTATTAAATTGACCTTTTCTCTAGAACTAGACATATCGTAAAATAGGCCTAAATGTCGAAAATAGGCTTATCATGTAAATCCCCGGTATTCAACCCCCGGCACGCGGGCTAACTCCGACCCGCCAAAAATTTTCATCCGGCCCGCGCAATATTGCTAAAAATAATTTAAAAAAATTTCCCGCCGATTTTTAGAAAAAAAATTCTGTTTATAGAAACACCTCCTATAGCACCCAACTGTTACATTGTTTACAAGAGTGTAGCTTTTTCTGAGTGTAGCTCACTGTGTCTAGTGGTGAGTGCTATTTCCGACCATCTAGAGGTGCCATGACCTAATCATAAATTTTCTTACCTCAGCACCAACCGAGGGGCTGAGGTGGCATTTTCCCCTATCTGTGAAGTTCTTCACTAGCACATTCAATTTCGAATCCACCACTATAAAAGAAAATTCTGCTGACATCGAAAACATTGGAAATAAAAAAATCATGATTGGAACTGGACCCCAGCTTAAAAAGGTATACCCGGGTTGTAAATAGTTACTTGCGTATACAATGACAGTATAAACAAAATAATTAATACTGGCGACGTATCTCAGTATGATATCTCCGTACTGTGCGTACATCAATATTTTTGGATTACTCGTTTTGTTTGAAATCCTTGTATTTGAGACAAGACAACAAAGGTTCAACAGTTGGACGACGACAGTCAATATAAATGAGCCTTGAAACAGATATTCGCCTATTACCCTTGTGCCGAAGTCACACCCTAAGAAAGCCTGTCATGTTTACTAACAAAATTAAGGGAACAGTCATGTTTTGCTGATAATTACGTCGTCATATTATGGGAATATCAATAAAAACAAACCTACTAACCATCATAGCAGGGGTGGCGCCAGCGGGGGGGAGCCCCTCCCCCCCGTCGGGGAGAGCTTCCCCCACCCCGTCGGGCAGAAAAATCACAATTCGTCGTCGAGAAGAAAAAATTATATGTATTTTTTACATATAACAGTAGTAGACTCTAAAATCGATTAAATAAGCCTTTGAAACCCCTAAATTGTCAAAATTTTTGGGGGATTCGCCACCAGGACTACTTTCAGAACCTTTTATCGAAGCTCGACCACGCCCACTTTGCTTTCGTTGGGGAAATCTGACCCCTCGTAGGAGCACCGTCCCCCCCCCCCTCGTCGGGGACCTCCCCGCCACCATCGGACAAATCCTGGCGCCACCCCTGCATCATAGTAGGTCCCCGACGCATATTTTAAAGAAGAATTGATTGTAATACTTGAGGAAATGGTTGAATATCCAACTAGGCCTATTATTAACAGTAGGCCTATATAAAGAAATGTTGAGACTAGGTGAAATTTGTATTAACACAAGCTCGTGTAGGCTACATTGCAAAATGACCGGTAATATGTAAACGAAAGCTTGTGTTAATTAAAAAATAAATAAATAAATAAAAAAATAAAAAAAATAAAAAAAATAAAAATAAAACACCTCAACTATAGTGTCAAAGTGCTCCCGCTTAGCCTACTGTTTAGCAACAATAAGCCTAGTAAAAATACAATAAAAGTGGCCCCAGACAGACAAAACCTCCCAATTTTGTATATGCGTTGAACAACACTAGTTTAAGGCCCACATACACAAACGCAAGCAACGCTAGTGAAATGTGACGCGTTCTTACGCAAAATGCAACCCGACTAAAGTACAAACTTTGAGCGTGAAAATGGCTGTAAAGTAACTGCGAACCAATCAGCTTGCAGCTTTATGAACTCGCAAATTGATTTGTTGATTCATGTTTTCTTGACAGACCCTTTGCCTTCGCCAAGACCTGCTGAGTCAGGTCACATCGTGCTAATTTAGGCGCAGGTTTTAGCATATATTTTGCATGTCATCATCTGTTATGGCATGTGTACACTCAGCAAAGGTAAAGGTGGGCTAATAAATGCATCTTTCTTATACCTTCTAAAAATCCCCGCGTAGGCCTATGATGAGTTCTAATGGCTTAAAGGAAAGAAACAATAATCACCTTTGTTTGATGATGGGTCCTTATTTAGGCCTAGTTCATCAATTGACTGTGACTTGCCCTCCTGCAGCATCACCCATCACAAACCTTTTTGACAGTGATGGACGAGGGCCGATTTGTGCATTGAAATTGACATAGGCTACGTTCAGACTTGGAGATAAGCAGGGGTGGCCAGGGCCCCGTCGGGGAGAGCTGGCCCCCGTCGGGGAGAGCCGCCCCCTTCCCCCCGTCGGGGAGAAAAAGCACAATTCGTCGGGGAGAAAAAAACATTACATGTAACTTAGTATTTCTACATATTAGTAGACTCTAAACTAAAATCGATTAAATAAGCCTTTGTAATTCCCAAATTGTCAAAATTTTTGGGGGCTTCGACCCCTGAACCACTTTCTAAACCTTTTAATCAAAGGTCGACCTTGCTTTCCTCGGGAAAAGCACCCGAACTATGTACACAAATATTTTATTACTCAATTTTTAGTAACACATCAATGAGTTAAATATTTACGTTACCATACTTACCTGACTGCATGCTTCTTTGATACTAACTGATAACTGCAGTTTCACTGCATGACCGTTTTATAATTTTAATAAAATAACAATTTCTTCTAATTTAAAATACGTTTCCCCCCCCCCCCTGAATTTGTGATAATTTGTTACACATAGACTTCTGCTAAATGCATCACAAATTTATGATCAGCATGTGTTTGTGTAAAATATGTGTTTCATCCAAAATCACTTTGAAATGTGGGACCGTCTCGCATGATACGAGACAGTTTGTAACTATGAATTGATAACATAATTAGTAAAGAAATAAACCAGCTGGAAATCACTACCGAAAAACGTTAAATAAGCTACGATTTGTGGTGAATTCATCATCAAGAAAATTCTTTGGACTAATACGATATTTAGATTTAAGATGCCTTTTCAACTTTGGCTACATTTTGAATCTCTTATCAATTGGTTTCTTTTTAGGACAAGGAGAAAACTGTTTAACTGTGAACCCTTGTCAGAATGGTGGTACTTGTATAACAGAAGAAACAGGCACAGCATTTTGTTTCTGCACTCCAGGCTACCATGCCACATACTGCAACCTAGAAGTTAGTAAGTATACTGAATGGAGTCAAGGTGTAGTTTGGTGAAAGATAACAGAAAATAAGAAATTTTATATTCAGTACGTTCTTGACTCAAACTTTTCAGATTTGGGGGAAAGTATGTACGCACCTATTGCATGCATCTCTCTGGATACAGAGCTGAAGATGTTTTGAGTTATTATTGTTGTTATTGAATTTACATATATATTTTGTTACAGATTTAAATTGTGGTCAAAACTTTTATGGTGTACCTACAGATCACATAACATCACCAAATTATCCAGACAATTATGATAATTTCAACTCATGTGGGTACCTTGTGGGTTATCCCAATGGAAAGAAATTCCGGATAACAATTAATGACATGGATATTGAAGAGGCAAAAGATGTTGTGGAGATCGGAGCAGGTCCTATTATAGACATCTCAGGAGCAGCAGCTGAATATACTTTTTCCGAGACGTTACCAATTCCACAAGCCCCATTTGAGATTTTGGGCAGTCGCATGTGGGTCTATTTTTACTCAGATTTTAATGTTGTCAAGCGAGGATTTAACATCACATTTTTAGTTGGTACGTAAATTCTGGTCTCTAGTTGTCTGATAATGTTTATTGATATCATCTATATTATCATTTTGTACTGATAGGCCTATGTTGTATTGCAGCATAGAGAATGGTTGCAGTGGTAATGCTTTAGGCATTCAAGTAAAGGTCATTCTAAGGATGGCTACTGGGTATGGCACTATCCACATTCTCTCCACTCGGGAGTATATGTGGATGCCCAGTGGCATATTTAGGACTCTTGAAATGGTTGTGAGTGGGGGGGGGTCTGATGGGGGCTTGATTGGTGAAGTAAGGGGATCGATGATTAAGTGAGGGGGCACTAGCTCAGAAAAATAAGATGATACAAGGTGATTTTTAACTAATAGAGCGTGACATTTATTTTGGCTTTGCTTGCAAGCACCCACAAAATACACCACTGTGGATGCCTGGTAGGATTAGTACTGCCAACCTAATGGAATACTTCCCAAGGAAGTTGATTTTCTGTATGTTTTTCATTAGTATAACATGTTTACAATGTAATGCACTTTGAGGCCTCTGTGTATGTTCTGATCAACATGTTACCAGTAAGACTAAAGTTTTCATAGTATATTTATAAGTATCAAATTATATGGTATTTTTTTTCTTTTTCGACAATATCATGAATTGTAGAATACAGTACAAGGTTATGTTTGTGAATATGAATATTGTTTAATTTTATAATTGTTTTTATAGTGTAATTTTATTAGTTAATTGTTGTTGAACTAATTTTGTTTGCTGACACTTTTTTTTATTCAGATGCAGACGAATGCTCCACCAATCCCTGTCAACTGGGTGAACAGTGCAATGACCTCGAGTACTCATATAATTGTCAAGGTAACTATCACCTCAATTATCACAACTCTTTAAATATAAACATTAAGATTTTATATAACTTGTGATTGATCGGTTAAATAAAATGTATAATAACGTAATTACATAGTCATCTCTTTTTTTTTATGTTTTTGTATCTTAAAAAATATATATTTAGCTTTGTGATTGTATAGATGGCAAATTATTTTGTACTTATACTGAATCCGTTTCGATCTCCAACAAAAATATAAATATCTGTTAGATATGTCCTGAGTGAGTAAGCATACTCCATTTCTTACTAGCTTTTACAAAAGGAAATTTGTCAAATATTTTCTTGTAGTTTTGAATTAAGGATCAGCACTCTCATTTCTCCAGTCATTTTTTTTGCACTGTGAGCATTGTGATTGATACCTGTGCATTAAAAATGCATGTTACCATTGTTATCATTATCATCATCACCATCTTACTCATCATCATTATCATCATCATCATAATATTATTATTATTATTATTATTATTATTATTATTATTATTATTATTATTATTGTTATTATTACTATAATACCAAGTTTAACATATTTTTTTTTTAGTAATTGATGAGTGCTCACCCAACCCATGTTTTAATGGCGGAGTGTGTGTAGATGGTATTAACCAATACACATGTAACTGTCCTAGTAATTATGAAGGAGTTAACTGTCAGATCCGTAAGTACACATCTACTTAGCATATAGAATTCTGTTATAAATGTAATAAAGGATGACCTGTTTATAGTCCTTATGAATACAAAATATTGATGCACTTAAAAGATAAGTACAGTACTTAAAAACATTGATTTTCATATTTAAAAGGATAAAGTAAGTTATTATCTTCCAATGACATATATAATCAAAACAATGCACTCTTTTACTACCAAATTCCTAAATTGATTACCCGCCAATTTAGAGTCTATGCCAAGAATATTAAAACTTACGATTTTTTATTGGCAAAGAAAGTATAAGCAGATTTATTACTATTATTATTATTATTATTATTATTATTATGATAATATATATACATAATGTATCACATAAGTCATGTGCATTAGAAAATGTGCATGTGGGTTAGAGCTGCAACCATACCATTGTTCTTTGTGGTCTAATGGTATGACACTTGCCTTGATAGCGAGAGACTACAGGTTCGAATCCCGCCAGACATTATTTTTTCATACAGCTAAAAGGAACTTTTCATTTAAGGGCTATGCTTGATATGATTATGACATCAAATTTTCTTATATTGGAGCACTGTTATTATCATTTCGTCCATGTGTTTCAGCTGTTTGTATTTCTTTTTCTATCCCGATTAGCAATAAACCCATGTGAAAGCAATCCTTGCAATAATAATGGAATATGCCAAAACTTTGTAACATATTATGAATGTACGTGTGTAAATGGATGGACAGGAATCACATGTTCACAAGGTATGTACTGGTTCTCCATATTTATATATTATTTTGCTGTTGGATTTATTATAATAACCACTGAGTAAGCTTATTATTTGTATACCCTAAAACCTCGAATTGAAGCCCAATGGGCTTAATCTCCAGATGAAGCCATCTTGAATTGAAGCCTCCTCTTTAGTTTACAAAATTAGCCTCGAAAAGAAGCCCACAGGCTTCTTTTCAAGATAGCATAAACTTATTTTTGAGATAATACAGTACATATACTGTACATTAATTAAAAACAAGCTTGGTTTATACAGTAGTTTAGGTAATTTAATGCCAATTAAATATACTCCATGATACAGATTGATGTTACAGTGGCCTTATTTATTGTTTCATAGTACAAATTTTGAAAAGAAGCCCGCTATTTACTTTGCAAAAGTAGTTTTGAAAAGAAGGGCATCCAAAGTTTGCAAAAAAAAGGAAGAAGCTCAGGGCTTCAATTTGAAGTGTTAAGGTGTTATAAAGTATCGAGATCCTCTTTCGTCCTGTGAGGTGAAGAAATACAATACACCAATCTGTGTTGAGTCACTAGCTGTAAGGTTAGCATAAAATAACAAACATGGATATAGATGATGTAACTCTAATCGTTATACACCAGTAATTTATGAGGTTTTTTACTAATTATAAAGGTCATTGATCAAACAATTTCATCTGGTTTATTTTATACAAAGAAATTATAAAGGGTTATTCCTTAATAAGACTTATAGTATTGTATTTTATATTGTTTATTGTGTTTTTAATTAATTATTCATTTTATTTAGTATAATTGGTATAAAAAGCAGAATGTAGGCAATGTTCTCATGCATTAAATGGGTCTTTTCTCACGTACTAAATGCTTCTTCTTGCAATTACATAATGCTATACATAAATGTGTTGCTGTAAGCCTACATTAGCTCGATGATTTACATACCAGACTCCTAAATTGTTTACATTTTTACTTCCTGAAAAGTGTAACAAATCTACTAGTATATATGATATCCTTGTAGGTTCTAAAATATAATTTTTTTACACGGCTATACAAATCCGCTGCCCTAACTATCCAGTCCAGACTGTCGTGGTTTATTGGACAAAAATCTGGTGTATGCCCATATATAGTCATGATGTGCCTATATATGGTAATGATGTGATGTCATCATTACCATATTAAGGCATGTCACATTTTTTTTTTCAAATAGAATCTGATAGTCTGTACAGGACTTATAATGAAACAGTTTTTTAAGAGCATCACATTTATTCCCCTGTATTTGTGAAACGTAAGAGATTCTTGATTTTAGATGTGAAAGAAAATAGAAAACGCAAGTTGGGTCAATGCATTGAATTAGCATTATAATACTCTCTCTCTCTCTCTCTTACAATTGTGATGACAGAAAATAATAGGGTATGGTTGCCATGACATCTGTTTCCTGTGTATGTAGGTAGTTATGAATTCACTTAGTAACTAGAGTGAAATAAATGTATGTGAAAGAAACTACAGTCCATTGATAACAATATATACTATAGTTTTTAATCAGTTTTCAAATGTAACATGTATTTAATAATAATTAATAATGTAAGAAATAACACACCATGGTTTAATAACTTATATTTGACAACTACAATTTTATACATATGCAGTCATCAGGTCAGTGGGAGGTCATCAGGTCAGTGTAAATGGGCAGTCTGTAATTTTCAGCTGGATGAGATAATCAATTATTAATATTAATAATTTTTAGTTATTATATTTAGTGTTTAAAAGCTATTTTATAATTTGTTTGGTTTAATTTATTTATACTTTCTTTTATCTTATTAGACATAAATGAATGTGCGAGTAATCCTTGTCAAAATGGTGCAATTTGTAGTAACAACCAAGACAGTTATTCCTGTAGTTGCCTTGGTGGTTACACTGGTACTAACTGTGAAACAGGTAAGCTAATTTCAATACTATGGTTAAAAAAGCCTACTAGTTTTTGAAGATCAATTTTATTTATTTTTATTTATTTATTTCATATTATTTCTTTTTAAAATTTTAACTTAATGAATTTTTTTATTCTTTTGGTTTAAATGTTGTTTGCTGTGTTACATATGTTTGTTTTTGTACTTACAGTATAGATTGTCTATCAATTTATACTGTAAATATTTTAATGATAATTTTTTGTAATTATTACTAGCCAGATCCAGAGATATCTGAAAGGATGGCTAAAAGAGGATGACTAAAAGGAATGGGGGGGGGGGGCTGATCGAGAGACTACACTACCCTACGGGCTTTGGGGGCATACCACAGCGAAATTTGTGTTTCTCTATGCTCGTAAATAACCTTTTAGGTGATCAATAAATTCTTTTTCTTTTTTTTCCTTCTTTTTATTTTTGACTTTTTAAAAGGTGGGGGGGTGGGGATGGGGTCAGGCCGTCTCGGTCCCCTTAAATCCGTCTCTGGTCAAGATACAAGACCTTCTCCAACTGTGAAATTGATATATTAGCAATAAAGAATAAGAATAAATATAAGTAGTCCTACTCTAGTACAGTAAAGTGTTCTGCCTGAGCAGAATCATTGGCATATTTGATGGACACTTATACAAATTTTGCATTTTCTCATGCATGGTCACTGATATTAGAGCTTGCCATAGATACGAGATTCACAATACAACAGGTGATTGTTTATCCAAGTGCAATGTAACCTAATGAACACAGAATAAAAGACAAGAGATACAGTTTTTTTGTGTGTGAGCACAATGTGGTCACTCATGCATATTCAATATGATTGCTCATGCATATTCAGTACCTTGTTTTAACATGGTGAACGGAAGGTCAACCCAAGGAGGTATTTTACTCATCATAGAATTCGGCTAATTTATGTGGGTGTGAGCAGGTTGGATAAAGGTTTAATGAGTGACTGCACTATATACAAGGGTGTACTCCTATTGACGATGTTCATTCGTTATCCTCGTTCTATGACAATAGAGGTTGTAACACCAACTGACCTCAACGGAAGTGACAAGCACCAACTGTGCCTCAACAGCTGCACAAAATGATTTTTGTAATTAATCTTCATAAAGAATTAAAACATACTAAACTATATTGAATTCATATAAAAGAAAATCAAAACAAGACATTTTGAAGCAAATATTTATTGCTGTAAATTTTGTCAGCTCAAAAGAACTATCCGGAGTGGACTATGGGGCTGTAACATCCACTCCGTTAAATAGTTGATTTTTCCTGTAATTTTCTGTTATTTATTAGTCTTGATATTTTTGTAATTGTTTAAGTTGTGTTTTTAAATTGTTTTTTTTTTCACCAGATATTAATGAATGCAGTAGTAATCCATGCCAGAATGGTGGCAATTGTAACAACAATGTCAACTTCTTCACTTGTGATTGTGTACTTGGCTATCAAGGAACTTTCTGCGAGTCAGGTAAAGAACATTAATACATTACACGAAAAAACAACAAAAGCTAGCCAACGCACATTACTATGAAAACCCTCAACATTCAAACCTTTGCAGAAATTATGAATTCTAGGAACAGTGAAGCTTTTTGGTTCAAAAGCTTTCTTCCAAACCTAGGCTCATTTTATACAAATCCTGTAATTCTATGGTCTGAAGTTGATGGTGCTCTACGATGATGAAACACTAATGGAACTGACATAAAAGCCTCATTACTTGTGTATGACTATTATGGTGTAGTTCCATTATGTAAAATGACAGTTGTATTGTTGGATATGACATTTTTGAAAAGTGAAGCAATGTAAGCTGCTGAATTTAGATTTAAGGCATGGGTTATGTTTCATTTACAGTTTATATGCTGTATCATCAGCTAGTTATATCATAATTATTATTGTATAATTTTGTCTCCCTGTGTATTTATGTTCCATTTGAAGTTACATACACATTGAACTTCTAGAATACAAATTCACACATTTGTATAAATATGATATATTTGATATACATATATGACATTACCACATTTTATAATTCATTGACCAATAACATGTTATAGTTTTTGTTTCTAATAAAAAAGTTATCACATCAGTCGATCATTGCAGTTACTAATACTCACGTAGGGCAAGTATATAATGATGTTCTAGTTTACTTCAATCTAACAAAGATTAATAGAAATTCATTTGATTCCCAGCTTCGGTAAGTATAATATAAAGTTGTCAAGCCACAAGTCATTTGGTCTACCTACTACATTTTAGAGTATAACCGACAAACTACTTAGTTAAAACATTATCATTATCATGCTAGTAGCACCCCCTGGACCCCAACTCCAAATATGTGACAGTCATGTGGTTATGAGCCTGAACGTTTATTTGATTCTGAAGGCATTTTAGCCTTTGATTCATTTAAAGTGTATGGACATTTGTGTAAATACTACTTGATACTGACACGTATTTTAAATTTTGTGAAATGCGTACATGAATAAACAGACTTAAAACTAGGACACCGCACAAAAATGAATTCTCAGCCAATGTGTGATTATTGCGAAAAGGGAATGAGGATGTAACATGGGCTTTCGTGTACAGAAATAGGCTGTTGTATTGTAAAGAAGTGTTCTAGATATGGGAATATTGGCAATAGTCTGTTTATCCAGGTATTTGCTCTTAGACATCATATTGATTTGTGTAATTTTATGGGAGATTCAAGAAATGCACATAATGTTTTCATCCACATAGACATCAATGAGTGTGAAAGTGCTCCATGTCAGAATGGCGGTGTTTGCAATGATTTGGTGGCTGCCTTCAACTGCACATGCCCAGAAGGGTATGGAGGGTTGTTTTGCCAGACAGGTATACAACATTTTGGTGAAGTACTGACTTAATCAAAATGCATTCTATATAAATATCTAAAAAATTAAGATTAAGTTCTATAATAAATAATAAAAAATATACACAACTCTCAGTCATAAAATCTTGAGAAACCTTTGTAAACTTTTGATACATTATTTTCCCATTATTCTAAAATAGAAATAAGTTATTATCTTTAAATGAGGCACATTTGAAAATAATGAAATTTTTGCCTAATCACCAGACTTTACTCCAAAAAATCTTTTAATTAATTTCATTTTAAATGGTAAATCTTATGAAAAACTTGGTTTTATACATTATATGTTATTATATATGCACAATTAATTATATGCATAACTATATGTTTAGTAATAATTCAAACGTAATATCTTTACTAAAATACCATTAGTTGTAGAATAGATATTAATATTAATAATCAACATACATCATTATACATTAGATATACATTAGATAGAAAATGTTAATACTGTAATTGTATTAATTTTAAGCTGTTACTCACAAATGCTTTTTGGGCAAAGTTTATTAACAAAATAACATCATTTGAAGTGGACTTGGAATAGCAGTCTTCTTTTAGGCATCAAGCTGCCATAGAATACTATGTCTTATTTCTACTTATGATACTGATAGTATTTATTTCATTTTGTCTTCTCTTAATTCTTGAGTTGTATTTCAGGAGCAGAATATTGTTATAGCATTGTAGGGCTGAGGTGCTCTCGACCCTCTATCTATAAGAGTCCCTCCCTTGCCTCCCTCCCCTCCCTTCCCTCCCCTCCCTTCCTCTATTTTGAATTACTGGATCTAGGCCTACTGCTGATCAATAGCTAAATTCATCACACAGACAGCTTAAGTGTGTCTGTGAAGACCTGACTGAGAGCATTGAAAAATGAACAGTTTGTTCATTACAAATCTATTTTGTATTGCTTGTGTTAACATGTTACAAATACAACTGTTGCGATCCAGCTCATTGCAAAAATATAAAGAATAGCAAAATTTCATCACCTTTTCTTAAGCAAAGGGTTTAACAGAAGGTCATGTATTTGAAAAGCATGAGTTTCTACTTTTTTTTTAAAATGCTTTTATGTGTCTCAATGATTTGGCCACATCATTGGTTTTTTACGCAGATAATTCTCTACATCTTACCCCTTAACTATTTGTCAAATGGAATTCCAACGATTTAACTATTAAACCAATTACTTCATTCAGAAGTAGATTCAAGGAGGCGAGCTAGAGAAAATAATAAAAGGAAAAAATAAAGAAATTAAAAGGTGCCATATAACCATAATAATTTACTGCAGTCCCAACCTTGTTGGTCTGGAACCTGCATCTGTAAAATTCTCTCTTGGAGCACCTGTATTCTCTTAAATTTGTGGATATGTTACTGCCATATGTAATCTTTTCCTTAAACTTGGTTTTTGTCTATTCCCAGAAATCAATGAATGCCTGAGCACCCCTTGTGTCAATGGACTGTGTGTTGACAACATTGGCTCCTTTAGCTGTATTTGTGAGGCTGGTTGGACTGGTACCCAATGTGATATAGGTAATAACGTATTAGATTTTGTTTGACTTAATATTTCCCCCTTTTTTTACCCAGCCCCTCGATTTTGCATAAGTCTTTTGGTGTCCTTTCCATTTGTTTTGCCTTATTTTATAATGTTCCTTTTGTTAGTTTAAATTAATCATAAATGACAAAATGTACATTTCATATTAATATAATTTGATGTAATGTAATCAAGTGAATGTATAATAATGAGTAAAATTTAGTGAATGTATAAATGCATGAATGAAAGAATTTATTTATAATAATAGTGTAGCAATTGTTGCTGTAGTGTTAATGTACATAATTTGGTTGTTTATACCAAGTATAAAACACTACATAGATAGTAGCCTTCAAATGTGAAAAGTGGGCTGAAACTACTTGTCGTGTATTGGATTTGACAACAGTGGTGCATCTAGTCTTGAAATGGCGGTGCTGATCGGGGGCGCGAATTTGAATGGTGGGGGGCTCGATGATCAGTTGAGAGGCGCTAATTCACAATGTTTCTGTAGTGTATTTTATGCATGATGTTGTTAATTTTTTTATTTTCTTTTTCCTACCCATCCTGCTTTTGTTTGTGATAGATATTGATGAGTGTGCAAGTTTTCCGTGCTTCAATGGTGCAACATGTAACAATTTTCTAGCTTTATATACTTGTAACTGCTTGTCAGGGTTTTCAGGCAGTAAATGTGAAATTGGTAAATACAGTGTTTTTTCTCAGGAGGTTTTAGATATACTGTACAGGTTTATATTTTAATCAATCACATAGTTTGATACTAGGAATAATTAGAAACATAACAATCAATATCTAAATTGAATACATGATATTAATATTAAATTCATTTGTAAGATTGAATCCCACCTATGTATTATGGGATTTTCCAAGAGGTTATAATTCTATGTATATTAATATATAACATATAAATTATTATAGAAATTATATACTTATCAAGAAGAAAGTGATAACACATAGGTGCTGAATACCAACTGTAATATTTCTTAGAATGAAATGAAAGTTATTAGTACTTTCCGCTTTTGCAAGTACTGTATCATATATAGATTGGTTATAATTGGTTTCAATTTTTAGGATTTGTTAGACCTACATTTTTTCATAAGTTGACCTTTATTTTAATTTTTTAAAGGCTTTGAGATCATATTTATTTCACTGTGGTATATAAATCCAAAAATTAATTCATTATAGAAGATAGACAGCAATATAATAGCCTCTATGCTTATATAAGAGAAGATAGATTTACCATCTTTTGTCACATGCAAAATGCAATTGTAATTTAATAAGACAACTGACCTATTGTTCCTTTAGATAATAATGAATGCAGTAGCGGTCCTTGTCAAAATGGAGCCACCTGTAATGACCACGTCAACTCATACACTTGTACCTGTATAGGTGGTTACACAGGCACATTTTGTGAAACGGGTAAGGGTGTGCCGACAGCTTCCATCATTGGAATCAGAGGACCTGTTCCTAATGAATATTAATATATTAACATCATCTGCTTTATTTCCAGTGTTTTCTTCATAACTTCTGCATTCACATCAGCATAATATAATAAGGGATTACTTTGAAAAAAAAAATATGGTTGACTAACATTCTGTATTAATTTCTGTTTTTGGTATTTTAATCTAACACTGTAAGGATTTTTTCTATCATGAATTCACAACTTTATCCAACAAATTTTAGTCATCTATCAAATTTTGGAGTCCAAATACCACATTGTGTGTCATGGTCTGTTATGTTTAATATTTAATATTTACTGTAGTATGTATTGGGTAATAATCTTTCCAAATAGGATGTCAGAAATATGTTAGTCAATTTCCCCACATAAAGGCTCATGAACCTTTATACTGAGATAGTGTATAGGTGGGCCTATACACTACCTCAGTATACAGGTGGGCCTATAAACATTATCATCTACTAAAATAAATATAATAGGCCTATAGTGATTTCTTATCTTAATATCATGCATTAGTAACTACCGGTATACTATAATACTGTCCCTGCCACACACCTGTTGATTTAGTCTATGAGACTAACAAACATTACTTAATCATGTCCGATTTTTACTTTAAGGTCCTAGAGTTTATGTAGAGTAGTAGGGTAATACACTTTTAAGAACAAACTGGTTAAAAATAATCATCTTTAGTTCCAAAATAACAAAAAAAAAAAAAAAAACCAGGATGGGAAAAATGTTTTCTCAAAATGAAGTTTGTTATTGTTTAAGGAATCTAATACTAACTTGAGCTATAGCACATTGTTTCTTTCAGCTGATCACTAATAATTTATCTTTTGACTAAAATTACTAACCGTAACCATTTTGCTTTAAAGATAACTGTGTATCAATATTTCTATACTAACACTCCACTACTGTATACTTTGCTACCATCTCTGAATTTTAGGTGGATATGCAGATACTGTCATTATCATCCATGTTTTATCCACAGCACGATTGATAAAACTAAAGGAAATTCACAAACACTAACTATTTGCTGTTTGCTGTCTAAAGCTTTGTCCAGACTATCAAATTTTTTTTTGACAAAAAACTGTTGTATGCCCATAAATAGTCATGATGTGCCTATATATGGCCATGATGTGATGTCATCATGACCATATTTAGGTATATCACATGTATTTTGTCAAATAAAATTTTGACCGAGCTTTACATTAACTAACCAGCTAGTAGCTATTTTTTAAAGATGATTTCATTATTTATTGCTTCTGCTAACATTGAAATACAGGTGTGATAACCATATATATACAAATTCCCAGCACCGGTAATGAATATTGAGTATGATATTTGTAATATCAATTTGCATATTTCTTATGCTAATACTGTTATTCTTCTTTATTTCATTTCTATAAAATTACTTTATATATTTTATATATTATTTTATACTGTTTGCATTTTTCATCAATTAAATTTTTTGGTTTGTTTTTGCCATCAATTATCAATAAGATATACATCAATTAGTTCTTTATTTCATACTACAAAATTGAAATGTTTTATCTACAACAGAGAAATGGTAAAACCAGTTGATATTTTGTTAATTATATTATGTAAATGAAGCAGTATTTGATTCTTCATATATTCATGAGCTACTGTTACACTGATACAAAATTGCGGTGGAGACAGTTAAAACATCATTAAAAAAGTGACAGATGATAATGTTGAATAACATTTAATAAATAAGAATTAAGAACTGGTTATATACTGCTGTGACAATAGCAGCTGCCTAACAAAAAAATAAGAATAAACAAAAAGAAACTACAACTATTCATATTTTAATAAATAAAATTATAATTATAATTCTTTCAATTATTTCTCAATAGACATTAATGAGTGTGCAAGTTTTCCATGTGTGAATGGTGGAACCTGCTCTAATGACCCAAATTCATTTGCCTGCACATGTTTACCTGGATACACAGGCAGCAGGTGTGAACTAAGTAAGTATTATGCTCACCATTTATCCAACTTTATAATTATCACCTGCAAATAAATAGATTAATTATCATTGATAAATGTTGTTTGACAGTCTTCAATATACTTATTAATTATAACCAGCAAATATTAATTTCAGAATAAATATTTTGATAATTTTTCTAATGAATTAATTGATTTGTGATTTATATAAAACATATGGTGCTCTGCCTCTTGTTGGCAGGTCCTCAGTCAAGCATCCCATTTTTCTATTTTATCTGCTTTACTCTAAGTAACGCTGGAGCTAGACAATAAAATTATTATGACGTTAGGCAACATAGAATGTACATATATCTTACACTCTTACGTATTATTCTGTGTATTAAAAGTAAATAATGATATAGTTTCATTTTACCATCAACATAATTGTCCTGTTCACAATACATTTACTTGTACTTTTCACTTCTCTAAATCCTTTGTGAGAAACTATATATAGACTTCCTCATAAATTCTTGAAATGATAGAAGACTTAATTACAAAAAGTGCGCAATACCCAGGGTTGTCGTAATAGTTTTAAATATAAATAATTGTGTATGTAGTAACTCAGTATTTAGCACAAACCTATGTCACCTTACATGAGATTTGTCTGTGTGTGTTACCTCTAGATATCAACGAATGCATAAGCTCTCCCTGTCTGAATGGTGCCCAGTGTACAGATGGCGTCAACTCCTATTCCTGCCAATGTGCCAATGGCTTTGAAGGGATACGCTGTGAATTACGTAAGTTTCACATATCATCTTTGTTTTACGATATAGAGTCTGGTTTGTGATACAAAAATAGAATCAATAAAATCATAAAGTTTATGTTAGTAAAATAGTGCCATGAAATAATTGAGAAAAAAATGTGTTCTCTTATGGTTAGATCCAATGGAGAATATAAGCTCACCTTCTAGCTCAGTTGGTATAGCACCTTTAACAGTAATCTAAGGGTCTTGGGTTCAAAACCTGATGAGGACATAAAAGGGAGCTTTCGATTTGCACGATGACACAATGCTAGAACGAAGTCACTCATGCGTGACCGGGCGCACTACTCTGCATAGGTAGATTTGGCCAAATTGCGTTCTAGAATCCACTTAACGTTCCCACATGCGCAGATGACTTTTAGGGACGTCATTATGATCTACGTACTACCGTCGTCCTGCAATTGAAAGCTCATTGTTTTTTCTGAAAAATGCATCATCTAAATTTATGTCTATCGCTATATATATTTTTAATTAATTAATTACCTTGTTTCATACATATTTTGTCAATGTTAATTATCTCCTTTTCCTCTGCCATTACTAGCGACCAATGAGTGTTCAAGTAATCCGTGTGTGAATGGCGTTTGTGTTGACATTGTGTTAGCGTACTACTGCACATGCTCAGGTGGCTGGATGGGAACAAATTGTGAAATAGGTAAGAAACTGTTCAATTTAATTTCACACTTTTGCTTTATATGGCGAAAAAGAAAATTTGATAATCTGGACAGGGCTCTTTAGCTGTGCTCAAAATCTTGGTAAGAGTTTGGCAAAGTATTTCAATGTTATTTTTCAGATGTGAATGAGTGCAGCAGCTCTCCGTGTTTAAGTGGAGGACAATGTCATAATGGAGCTAACCAGTTCACCTGTGTTTGCCCTGAAGGATGGTTTGGCATAATATGTGACACAGGTAATTAAATAAAAGCTTGTTTGTTTGTACTCCAGTGATAGTGACTGAGTCATAGATCATCTAGTGCTGCTTACAGTGGCACTATATGATGTTCTTTTATCATTTTCTGATCAACAATCCATCAAGATTCAAGATTCAAGATTATTTTATTGCCCAAAATACAGAAATTCTGTTTGGGTGTAAGCATTTCAATACATACAGAAAAATATATACAAACATCGAAAATAAAACAAGAAAAGCAAAATGTAACCAAAATAAATGTGGAAAAAAGATATGGCCTATGTATATACAGTGAGTAAATACAGTTAAAAGAGAGAAGTGATAAGCATATTTAGGCATTTGAGTTGTAATATCTTTTTGCAAAAGGTATGTATGGGTTGAGAAATCTTGAGGTACAGCAATTAGCAGATCGTAATCACTTTCTTGAGTATAGTTATTTAAATTCATTAAAAAGTGGGTGGTTTCTATCTTCTAATATTGCGATGGTTTTCTTATAAATTCTTTGGCAGCATACATCCTCAAGCGAGATGTCTTTATCAGTAAATTTTCGAGCCTGATTTAGTACACTTTGAATCTTAATATAGTCTGTCTTTCTTAAACCACTAAACCATATAATACAATAAAAAATAGTGACACTCTCTACAAATGATTTACAGAACATACCAAGAAAAGTGTTATCTACATTAACAAATTAAAGTCTTCTCAAAAAGTGAAGCCGTGAGTTTGGTAATCTTGGCTTGCTCACTCCAATTTAACTTACAGCATCCATACATTCAGCATTATGATTCACACATAATATCAACATAATATTAATACTTAATATTTATTACACATTTCTGTTTATTTCTTTCAGATGTAGATGAATGTGCTAGTAATCCTTGCTTATTTGGGACCTGCATCAATGAACAAAATGGCTACCGCTGCGATTGCTTTGGTGGATTTGAAGGTGTGAATTGTGGAACTCGTAAGTAAACATCTTTGCATTCTTAATGAATTATGTTCCTGGCAAACCTGGGATAAATGTGTGTTTTGTCACCTTTTTTTCTCATGCTTGTGTTTTTTGGAAGTTCATGTCAATTCATTCTATTTTTGCCGTTCATCAAATTTTACCAGTGGGGGAAACTGGTGGTGCAAACTTTTTTTTTTGAGGTGGGTGGTGGGGGGGGGGTTGGGGGGGGGGGGGGGGGGGGGGGGGGGCACGTGGACGTCTGTCTCCACACCTTCCCTAGATATGCCACTGATTAACGATCTAGTCAATATGCTCTGCAAAATCATCTCAGTTGATATTTTCTTTCTACTGATTTACCTTATTAATGACTTCATTCATGCTTATTTTACCTCCATTGCAGAGACGAACGAATGTCTGAGTTCACCATGTCTGAATGGGGGTACGTGTATAGATGGTGTAAATATGTATTACTGTAACTGTTCACCCGGTTGGGAAGGATTAAACTGTGCTACAGGTAATTAAATAATGGAATAAATGACATGTTCTTATTAATTTATAAATATGTTTGTATTGATCTATTTAAGGAATACATCCAGTATATGCAAAATCTCCTTTCAGAATTTGATTTACAAAAGAATACAATTTCCCGCACCTAGTTAATTACGTCTATATAAAGTGCTTTTTATGTGCTGCTTGCGATATTTTAATGATGATTATATTTTCAATAAGCTATTTTGTAAAAAATTTTTTTAATAATGCAATGAAATTTATGTTATATATTTTGATGTTTTTCAGAAGTAAAAATACCATGATATATAAATAATTGATTAATTACTACAATTCTAATATAACTTGACCTAATGATGGATAGAAGCCAGTTTATAACATTGAGTTTTCAAGTAATCATAATACATTATTTGTACAGACATTGATGAATGTGCCAGCAATCCATGTCTGAACAACGGTGCCTGTAACAACTTCGTGAATAGATACACATGTACTTGTCGGCCAGAGTATACTGGAATCAATTGTCAATTATGTAAGTCACTTGTAATGTAATTTACTGTAGTTATACAGTGCTTTTTGCCAAAGCCTGAGAGTGATGGAGTGTGGAGTGGCATGTGTACAGTAACTCCCTTCTCCCCCTAAGGGCAATTGCCTAAAGGGTATCCTTGTGTCGGAGCTACCGAGTGAACCAATAACAGGTACTCTTGTCTGTCCACAGTAGGTGCTGTATGGACCAGTACACCAGGGGTAACCCCCTCCCTCCTCATCTTGACAGCGAATTGTGTACACCCATGGGCCTATGATTTATAGTCTTTTTCCCAGAAGACAGCCAGAAACCAGAATTGTAGGCTTTTCAATGTTTGAAAAATATCACAAATAGATGGGAGAAGATAGACAGATGTTGCTATACTTGGTTTATGAGTTCGTTTATCTATATCTTATATTTTCTGCTTATAAAATAATTATCATAGACTGAATGAAACTGTATTTAGATGCATTAGTACTCAAATATACCAGTATTGTATTACATACAATACATAATTTATCAGATCAAAAAATAAAATTTAATATGATTTTCCTTTATAGTCATAGATCCATGTACCAGTTCACCATGCTCGAATGGTGGAACATGTAATAACAATGTTGGTTATTATGTCTGCGACTGCCCCTCAGCATACACAGGAACAAATTGCCAAGAAGGTATGTCGACAGCTTATAATGTTATATACAGACTGAGAAAAGGTTTCTGTTAGTGAAAATCATAGTGCAATATAAATGGTATAATTTTTTTCTATTTTATTTTATTTTATTTATTTTTTGTTATTTTAATTTTTTTTTCTCCTCTCTTTTCTCCTACCAGAAGGAGGCTGGTGGTAAACATATATGAGATATAAGATATTATATGTTATTATAATATGTAAATATATATAATTTACTGGTGCGTTACAAAAATGTTCCACATGAAAAAAATACGAATGACATTAAAAACATCTAAGGTCAATTTTGAGGTGCTCTAATTAAGTTTAATAAATATTTTATATATGTTATCATTGATATTCTACTTTAAGATTTATCATTGTTTCTCAGACCTATTAAGAAAACTGTAGTTAAATTGTCATTGAGTACCAAAGTCCTGTTTACAAGTTCCATTACATTTTCAGCCCATTTTCTAAAATTTCTAATATGCTTTTTCAAGAAAGCACTGATAACATCTATGCACTGTATTATTTCGCAGATTATAATGAATGTGGTAGCAATCCTTGCAACAATGGTGGAACTTGCCGGAATTTGATTGGACAATTCCAGTGCGTATGCATGCCAGGCTGGACCTCCGACAGATGTCAAACTAGTATGGCAAACTTAAATCAAATAATTTCATAAATATAAAAATAAATAAGAAAAACAATGTGAGCGTATATATAATGCTCTTACCCAAAAGTTATGGTTCTTTACACACTCAAAATCTGTATTTATACAACCTTTATCTTACATATGAGTGCTTCATGGAGTAGTATTGTTCTGAACTTTGCATGGGAGAGAATGAAATTTCCTATTATTTTTTCTTGCAGTTTCCCATCATTGCCATTGATATACTTATGAACTAGCTTTTGATCCCACTAGAGATACAAAATTGATAAGCAAAATTTAAAATGTAAAGCTAACAAACAGCCAGTAATAAAACTAGAGTTTTGGACGATACTAGTCCTTCCTTCCTTATTCATATATATCCAGACAGTAGTTTGTTTGCCAATCAAGACCTAAAATTTTAAATTGATATTTCAACCCACCTTCCTGAGCTTGACTTGTATTTTGGAAAATTTACCTATCATTTTTGGTTGTTTTATACATAGACATCAACGAATGTGGAACAAACCCCTGTTTGAATGGTGCCACTTGCATTGATTTAGTCAATGACTTTACATGCAGTTGTACAACCGGCTGGACTGGAGAAGTTTGTAGTGTTGGTAAGATGTCAGCAATGTCTTTTTATGTAATGTACAATATTTCATTAAAAACGAATTTTCATTTACATATTGATATACCTATATTAAGGGCTAGGGAGTCATATGTTTCTAAATTCTATCTGCCTTTTATAGGCTAAGGAGTCATGCAACTGGCTGTGTCTAAATTCTAGCTAATTATGATGGACTAAGGCCTCATGTAGCTGGTTGTTTCCAAACCCTGCCTCTGGTTTGGCTTGGGAGTGTACTACTAGAGAAATATATAGCTAGTTTCTGAACTGTATTAAGCAAATGGCAGCAAAGAAGACATGTTGCTAACTGATGATTTTAAACCAAGCTGTATTCTTTTTCAGAGGTGAATGCTTGCAACCCTAATCCATGTCGGAATGGGGCGACTTGCAATGACTTTGACACCTACTACACCTGTTCTTGCGTACCTGGTTACTCAGGTCAAACATGTAATGATAGTAAGTATAAGTATAACTTCTAAACAATCTTTGATTATGCATTTATTCAGGGGCAGACTGGGAACCAAGTAATTACCAGACAAGTATCTAAACCAGGTGCACTGGGTGTTGAGGGTGTGCTCATGTCTGAACACTATGGGGTATTAAAAACTATTCAAACTGTTCATGTTTACAACAACAGTCTTGACCTCCAATCATCACTCAACTGTAAAACAGAATGTGACAAGAGATTAGTTAGGGTACACATGCTTCGGTGGTAAATAGTATCTAATAGGGGAGGCATGTTTTTTTTTAAATGTCCTAATATGGATTGGGCATACCATAACAAGATATATTAAGATATCTTTTCCTTGGTGAAAGAAATACAAACAAATACAAATATTTCACAATTAACTGTAACTTTTCATTAATATCTGTTATCCTTAGATATAATTGAATGTGCGAGTAATCCATGTGCTAATGGGGGTACATGTCTAGATGGTGTTAATGAATACCTTTGCCAGTGTACACCTGGATATGAAGGAACAAATTGTAATGGAAGTAAGTTGATGATGTTTCTATTATTATAGTATTTCTTATTTTAGGCTGATTAATGAATAAGTAGGTTACTCATCACTTTAGTATTTCTGATTTTAATTTGTTGAAGCTAATTAAACAATGGCAGTATCCCACATCAATTTTGTTGAAATGTTAGTGTAAATAAATTAGTAAAAATTTGTTGAGCACTGCTTCTTAAGATTTATAATTGCTGGACTGCTGACAAGGACTGCTGAATGAGCTTGGTTCAAGATGGTTGCCTTTTAAACTAAGGGTTCTGGGTTCAAAATCACCCACTGCAGGGTTTTTGTGACTAAAAACAGCCCCACTCCCTAAAAGAGACATATTATAAAGCATTGTTCTGTCTTGTAATTGGTGATATACTTTCTGATGAATTTGAAAGAAATGTTTTTTAAAAGTGTAAAGTTCCAAACATTTGTTTAATCTGAATTTGAATTGTATTTGCAGATACCAATGAATGTGCCTCTCTACCGTGCCAGAATAATGGAGTGTGTGTTGACAGCATTAACTCCTACACATGCCAGTGTCAATCTGGATTCTTTGGAGCTCACTGTGAAAATAGTAAGTGAATATCTCTGGTGGTTGTGGGTTTCGAATCCTGTCGAGATCATTTCTCAAATACATGTGACGTACCAAATATTTAAGCTGTCATTATCTGATACTATTCTTTATTGTGGCTTTGTGCAAGGCACTTTTCTATGGTTGTATAATTGCATATTTGATAGGATGTATGGATTTAAATTCTATATTCAGTGTCCATCACTCTGTAACCTACGAAATAGTCATAAAAAAAAAAATCAATGATAAATTCATAATGCATTTCATTATCATTTTACTACCTTTTTTTCCCAAATTTTTAAAGTATTTTACCATTACTTTTGTTGATGTTTACCTTCAGAGTTAGGATGAAGAGAACACTGATCTAGTACTGACTGGTCTTCATGTGTTTATTATATATAATTATTACATTATTTTAGTTTATTTCTCTTCTTTGCACTTTAGCATGTCTACTTACATTACATTACATTTGTCTGCTCTGATAGATATCAATGAATGTGCAAGTGCCCCATGTTTGAATGGGGGTCAGTGTGTTGATGAAGTGAACCGGTATTATTGTTCATGCTTGGCTGAATGGGGCGGTGACAACTGCCAAACACGTAAGTATCTTTACTTTTTTTTATTATCAAATGTTGTAAGGTAAGAGATAATAGTATCTATTTTGTGAATACTTACCTGGATTAACCTAGTGGCTTATGTCGGTTCATCCAGGTAAGTAACTCACTCATAGACCAACAACATCACGTCTGCTTTGTGTGATTTCAAATATGGTTGAGCTGAGATTAGTTGAAACATTTACGCCAAGAAATAATAGAACAAAACAGCAGATGGAGTCACTAGCTTTGCTGAAAATCAGTGTTTAGGGATTTTTATGTAGCTTGTTTTGATCACTAATATTGCTTGTCAAGGGCATAGAGGCTCCAAAATGTACACTTTATAATTCTAGTGTCATTAATATTATTAGTATTCCTGTTGGCTTGGTTTGGGGACTTTGTTGGGGGATTTGGTGGTTCAATCAGCTGTATTTGTCGTCTATGGGTTCTTTGGATCAATGACCCCTAGCTTATGTATAGGGTCTGGAATGGAGCTTAAATATAATCTCATACATAGTTTATTGTGAATGTTTTTTTTCTTTTAAGAATTGAATGACTGCTCACAAATGCCATGTGAAAATGGCGGAACATGTGTTGATGGCCTAAATACATTCAGTTGCATTTGTGCATCAGGATGGACAGGCTTCACTTGCACTTTAGGTAAGTAAACAAGTATTTGCTTGGGTTGTATTTTGGTGGTAGGGTGGGGAAGGCGATGGATTTTGGGTGTCTGTTGGGGATGGAGTGGTCTGTGCAATATGTTTTTACTAATTTTTTTTATAATAATATAACATTGATTTAAAATAATAAGAAGTAATAAAATAATATTATGAATTAACATGATTGTTTGTCAATGTAATGGTTAAGTTGTATAAGACTACTGTACACAACTTAATAAAATCAGTAAGCATCAAGAAATTAAAATATTATATTGTTAAAAATGAGACACATTGTATATACTTTTGTTATGTCAGCCCTTTCTCAATCATATATTCATGTCTGATTTTTCACGATTCTTATTTAAAGATGTTAACGAATGCAATAGTTCACCATGTATAAATGGAGGAATCTGTCAGAATTTTGTAAACTACTACAACTGTGTCTGCCCCACAGCATACACTGGGAACCAATGTGAGATAAGTATGTATATTTTTATTTTTTTACCTAATTGATCCAATGACCATGAAGCCCTTAGAGAACCAATTGTATTATTGGTATATAAGTCAAACATATAATTATCATTACTGTATTAATTATGACCTTTATCAAAATCCATTTTAAAGATGCTAATACCAAACTTGATTATAATAATTCTGATTCAATGGTCAATTACATTTTTTTTCCCAATTCTTTAGATGTTGATGAATGCGCAAGTACACCGTGTCTGAATGGAGGAACTTGTATCGACGGCGTCGGCCTATACACTTGTGCATGTGTCCAGGGCTTTGTAGGAACTCATTGTGAAAGTGGTAAGTAATAAGCTATATTCACACTTTTAAGTCTAAGTGGCAGATCCATGAATTGAAATAGAGGGGACCAAAGATAATAAATAGCAGAAGATAGAGCAGCTTCCCAATACAGTGGAACATCCGTTCCAAAGGCATTGTGGGTACACGGAGAGCAATTTTACCCCATCCGCGCGGCGGCGCTATATAGAAATAATAACAGCAATAAAGGCGCCGCACTGGTTCGTTTGTTTCCTGTAGTTTCTCCACTTAGTAAAATGGTCAAATTTTACCCCATTCGTGGGAGGGCGTATGTTCCATCAATTTTAATGTAAATATGCGGAACAGCTCATTCTTCTGCTATTTAAGTTCTTTGAGGGGACTGAGGAGATAGTTTTACATATGGGGTATGGGATTTGAATTTGCTTATTGAGTTTTACAGTGTATGTGACATACCTGTAACTTACCCTTACCCTTTTTTATGGTTGTGATATTACATCATCATGTCCATGCTGTATATTCAAATCATAGACATTTGGCAGATAAAAATTGTATAGTGTGTACGGAACATAATATTACATTGTGTATAATTTAGGGTATGTTAATTATGCAGGAGATACATTAAATATACATTAATACAGTGACGCATCATGCCCATCTATGTGCAAATCATATATATTTGGCACATGAAACTTCATAGTGTTGGCAGAGATAACATTACATTTTGTGGCCTTTAAACTTGGTGTGTTAAGTGGTAGAATATGTGTAATATACATTAATACAGCTAATTATTAATTATAATATTTTGATGTTTTAAAAATGTTATAATATCTTATTATTAAATTTTCTTTTGATTACTTAAATTTTAGAAACATATGAATGTTTGAGTGCACCATGTCAGAATGGAGGGCAGTGTATGGAAGGGACCAATGCCTATATCTGCCAATGTGCTGCTGGCTTTGACGGACCAGAATGTCAGATAAGTAAGTGCATACCTTTTACCGTCGGCAGACAAATTTGCTTATGCCCAACGCAACACCAGTCCATACATAGATACATAACGTTGACTTTTATTGAACCAAACCACATAGTTGTAAAGCTGGGCACTCAACTGCACACGCCAGTCGTTGGCCTGCATACTTTACTCTGTCTAACAAAAATATGTGATTTTTAAACCTTGGTATAAATCTACGGCACTACAGTTTGTGAGTGCCACCGATACAAATGTGTAGTGTCATCAAATAAATATGTACTACTAAAAGAGAATCAATGAATTACTGCAATGACCTTAAGGGGTGTGAAGTGAAGTAGTTCAAATTGGTAAATAGTTAGCCATATTTTATTAATTTTTTTATATTTTTTAGACATCAACGAATGTGTAAGTAACCCGTGTGGAGTTAATGGAATGTGCAATGATCAAACCAACCAATACCAATGTGTATGCCATCCAGGTTGGACTGGTCCATTATGTACAATAGGTATGTCTATGTAAACATGTATATTGTTTGTATGTTTTATAATTAATTTATGACCAGTCTTATAAATTATTCAGGAAATAGTACCAGACTTTTGAGCTTTTTATCAAAGACTCATAAAGTAAAACTGAAAAGAAACATATCAGTTATTGTCTGGGGGGTGTCAGTCACTGTTTGTGTGTGTGTGTTTTTAGACAACATGATTCCTTTGTTGTTCTTGATTATCCTTTATTTTTAGGGGTTTGTTTTTAATTCCTAGATTTTTATTGACCATTTAAATGGTTTTTAATTGTTGTTGTGATATAATATGTTTTTCTCAAACCACCATAAAAGATTATGTGATTTCCCTTACATATTAGTAAATATATACTGTATAAACTAAAATTCTGTACAATGTAAATATTAAATTAAACATATATCTACAAATATTATTGTATTATGAGTACAATAGAAAGTGGAAATTATTACTAAATGATTATTTTATATTTTTCCACAAATTATGGCTGTCATTTTATATAATAAAAACATAAATATAAATAAATTTTAAAACTAAGATTACATTTAACTATATAAATTTACTTTAATTATATGGATTACTATAAAAAAGTGTAAATTTAGTATCAAATATAAATTATAAGTATGTCGGTGATAAGTCAAGGACAAACATCATAGCATCAACTTCACACAAGATGTTGAAAAAATAATTCAGAATAAATTTATATTCATCTGTACAAATTTGTGTCTTATTAGAAATCGATGAATGCGGTAGCCTCCCTTGTCTGAATGGTGGAACTTGTACCCAAGGTGAAAATTTCTATACTTGTCAATGCCTACCAGGTTGGACAGGGACAAATTGTGAGATAAGTAAGTATGAATTCTACTGTGTAAGCCTATGACATGGCATGTGATTTATCACATGAATTAATCATTATAGGCCATTTTAATTATTATGGGCCATATTACAGTATAAACACGAATAGCCAGCTCTATTTTGTATGTTTTGTATTACCATTGGACAGCCTTACATAGTAGATGTCCTGTGGTTATTGAATGAGTTATCATTCCATGTACTTTGATAACAGTATTATTAGGACTTGTTTATTATTATGATTAAATGTAGAAACATTACTGTCTAAGTGGTTACGTAAGGGATGTCCTGTGGTTATTGAATGAGTTATCATTCCATGGGCTTTGATTACAGTATTATTAGAACTTGTTTATTATTATGATTAAATGTAGAAACATTACTGTCTAAGTGGTTACGTAAGGGATGTCCTGTGGTTATTGAATGGGTTGTCATTCCATGGGCTTTGATTACAGTATTATTAGAACTTGTTTATTATTATGATTTCATGTAGAAACATTACTGTCTATGTGGTTACGTAAGGGATGTCCTGTGGTTATTGAATGAGTTATCATTCCATGGGCTTTGATTACAGTATTATTAGAACTTGTTTATTATTATGATTAAATGTAGAAACGCTACTGTCTATGTGGTTACGTAAGGGATGTCCTGTGGTTATTGAATGAGTTATCATTCCATGGGCTTTGATTACAGTATTATTAGAACTTGTTTATTATTATGATTTCATGTAGAAACGCTACTGTCTATATGTTTTCTCTTTATTTGCTTCTGAACCGATTTGAGTTCTTCAGTCATTCAGCATAATATATCTAAAGCATTTATTTTATAACCTTATCCGAAAAAAAAAATTTGAACAGGGAAAAGTCATTATGATTTGCACTGTTGGTATTACCTGAACAAAAGCCATCAAAATGATGATGAAAATCCTTCCTGTAAAAGGGAGTTTGTCCCTTATCCTCATACAGCACTTGGACCCCACTCAGGCACTTAGATGTCCCTTACCCTATACTGCTTGCACCATAGGAAATGCCACTTTAAGAAATACTGGTTATGAGCTGATATGCACTGGAAATGAACTGATGCAACTTGTGTTTTTCAGATGTGGATGAGTGCCAGGTGTCGCCTTGTAACAATGGTGGTACTTGCTATGATTTGGTGAATGCATACACCTGTGTCTGTGTTGAAGGATTCAACGGCAATGATTGTGAAATAAGTATGTATTTAGTTCTTTTCACAACTGCTTTAGTTTATTGTGTTTGTGATCACAGTTAATAATGTATATTAATGATTATATTAATTAATTATATACAGGTACATATATTTTTTCGTTTATTACGTTTATGATTATGAATGAGAACAGTATATAATAATGCTGTACATAATAACATATATAAAATTGCATGTAAAATAGGTACTGTTTTATTAAGTTTATGAAAAGAACAATGTATAATATAATAATATATTTATGTTTTTGTGTATCTTGTTTAATACAAGGACAGTGCTATATAAGGATAATAGCAATAAATTTAACTTAATTTATATGTAAAGCGCTGTCCTGACTATCAAATTTTATTTGACATGTGACATACCTAAATATGGTCATGATGACATCACATCATAGCTGTATACAAACACTCACATGTGTCCATGGACTTTAATTACAGTATTATTAGAACTTGTTTATTATTATGATTTCATGTAGAAACATTACTGTCTATGTGGTTACGTAAGGAATGTCCTGTGGTTATTGAATGAGTTGTCATTCCATGGACTTTAATTACAGTATTATTAGAACTTGTTTATTATTATGATTTCATGTAGAAACATTACTGTCTATGTGGTTACGTAAGGAATGTCCTGTGGTTATTGAATGAGTTGTCATTCCATGGACTTTAATTACAGTATTATTAGAACTTGTTTATTATTATGATTTCATGTAGAAACATTACTGTCTATGTGGTTACGTAAGGAATGTCCTGTGGTTATTGAATGAGTTGTCATTCCATGGACTTTAATTACAGTATTATTAGAACTTGTTTATTATTATGATTTCATGTAGAAACATTACTGTCTATGTGGTTACGTAAGGAATGTCCTGTGGTTATTGAATGAGTTGTCATTCCATGGACTTTAATTACAGTATTATTAGAACTTGTTTATTATTATGATTTCATGTAGAAACGCTACTGTCTATGTGTTTTCTATTTATTTGCTTCTGAACCGATTTGAGTTCTTCAGTCATTCAGCATAATATATTTAAAGCATTTATTTTATAACCTTATCCGAAAAAAAAATTTGAACAGGGAAAAGTCATTATGATTTGCACTGTTGGTATTACCTGAACAAAAGCCATCAAAATGATGATGAAAATCCTTCCTGTAAAAGGGAGTTTGTCCCTTATCCTCATACAGCACTTGGACCCCACTCAGGCACTTAGATGTCCCTTACCCTATACTGCTTGCACCATAGGAAATGCCACTTTAAGAAATACTAGTTATGAGCTGATATGCACTGGAAATAAACTGATGCAACTTGTGTTTTTCAGATGTGGATGAGTGCCAGGTGTCTCCTTGTAACAACGGTGGAACTTGCTATGATTTGGTCAATGCATACACCTGTGTCTGTGTTGAAGGATTCAACGGCAATGATTGTGAAATAAGTATGTATTTAGTTCTTTTCACAACTGCTTTAGTTTATTGTGTTTGTGTTCACAGTTAATAATGTATATTAATGATTATATTAATTAATTATATACAGGTACATATATTTTTTCGTTTATTATGTTTATGATTATGAATGAGAACAGTATATAATAATGCTGTACATAATAACATATATAAAATCGCATGTAAAATAGGTACTGTTTTATTAAGTTTATGAAAAGAACAATGTATAATATAATAATATATTTATATTTTTGTGTATCTTGTTTAATACAAGGACAGTGCTATATAAGGATAATAGCAATAAATTTAACTTATAAATATAACTTATTGATATGTAAAGCGCTGTCCCGACTATCAAATTTTATTTGATAAGATCATGTGACATGCCTAAATATGGTCATGATGACATCACATCATAGCTGTATACAAACACTCTCATGTGTGATTGTCTGATTGTAATCTCAAATTGTAATTGGAATTTTTCTTTTCCTCTTTTAGATATTAATGAATGCAGCTCAGGGCCATGTCAGAATGGTGGACTTTGCACTGATGGCATCAATTCTTATTCTTGTGTCTGTCTACTTGGCTGGGAGGGTGACAACTGCCAGACAAGTAAGTACTCTTGCTACTACACCTTCAATATAATAGATTAACAAACATTTAACAAGCTAAAAATATTAATGTAGTCATATTTAATATGGCATTTTTTAAAAATAGCAACATATAAATATTAATATTATTAGAGTTTTTTGTTATTTAATATTTTTGTAATTGCTAAATTAATTATATATATTTTATTTTATTACTTATTGTTACTTATGGATTTTAGAAAGCAAGTAAGCGAAGTTAAGGCAACTCAAGAAAGTCAACTTCAAAATAAGGCAAAAACTAAATGGACAATAAAGTTACTTTCTTATTACATGTATACCTCCATTTTATTTTCATTTATTTAAATTGTTCAATATCAACTTAAAATTCACAATAAATTCTTACAAAATATATTGACAGAAATTTAAAACAAATGCTTTGAATATGTTTTGCTAAACCATCGTTATCACTTTTAATTTCAGATGAGAACGATTGTTTCCCGAATCCTTGTATGAATGGAGGCATTTGTCAAGATGAATTGAGTAACTATGTGTGTTCATGTCCAGCTGGTTTTGATGGCAACAACTGTGAAACAAGTATGTTTATCAAAGTCATTTGCATAATTTATTCATTCTCTGCTAAGCCCCACCCCTTAGATATTGTTGCTAGGGTACAGTGTAAAAGCATACACAAACACAAGTTTTTGTAGACGACACGTGTACTTGTGAGACACTTGTATATTCCTGGCCTTGTTCTGTCAGTTGTTAGGTTTGATTGACATTTCAGAAAGGTCTGTGATAGGCGAAAACTCATCAGATGACATACAACTATGATTAGGTTATCAGTAGCTACTCAATAGCAGACGAACTGCTGTGAATTTAGTGAATAGACTTATAACTAGACTAGAGGGACACCACTTATACCCAAACTACAAATTTGGTCAAATTGTTTGCAAAATTTGAAGCCCCATCTTATACATGGATTTATTTCTATACTCGCAAATATGTAGTATGAGGAAAATAATATTTTTGGTTTTTTTTTTATACAGATATAAATGAATGTGCGAGCAACCCTTGTGCGAATGGCGGGACGTGCAATGATGGCATTTTTGGTTACACATGTAGTTGTGTCATTCCTTGGAGCGGAACCTATTGTGATATTCGTAAGTAGACGTAACAATATAATCTAGTCTCTGATCTTATAAAGATCACATATTTAACTCTGTTCATTTATCAAAAAGAAGAGTAGGGAATAACAGTATTGGTATGTTTCTTGCTTTGCTTATGTTGAATTATGCTTTTAAATAATGATTTAATAGTGTACTGTTTATTCCATTATGTGTATATTTTGTTCATTCAAAAAAAAGAAAAGAAAATTGAAGTAAACAACTTTAAGGTAACAAAATCTGTCTTGAAAATATTAACTGCAAAAAATTACAATTAAATTTTTTTTAAACCAATTTTTAGAGGGTGAATGCCGTGCTAACTACACAATCCCAGATGGTGGCATGCTTACCGTGCAATCACCAAACTACCCTGCCAACTACTACGACAATGACTACTGCCTATGGTTCATATCCACACGACCGGGCAAGCATATCCTAGTCACAGTAACCAATTTCGCAACAGAGTTGCACTACGATCATCTTGACATTGGAAACAACAACGACCTGTCTGACCTGGGTTCACGTGTCATTCATCATTCTGGGTTTGAACTACCGCCACCTTTCCTGACAACTAACAACATTGTGTGGGCACGGTTCGAAAGCGATCGAACCAAGACTGAATCAGGCTTTTCCATAACATTTACCGAGAGGGACAGTCCAGGTAATGGAGTATTTGTTTTTTGATATTTTGATAATTCTTTTTAATTCTTTTTTTTTAAATGCTTTCCCATAGTATGGTAAATTGCTATTAAAATGTACATCCCTCTTTTTTTCATTGACAACGATGTGCTGAGCCAACCTGTAAAGTATAGCATTATGTGCTGTCCTCACTATTAAATTTTCTTTGACAAAATTGTTGTATGCCCTTCTGAAATCATTAAGTGCCTATATATGGTCATGATGTGATGTCATCAAACGTGTCACATGTATTTGTCAAATAAAATTTGACAGTCTGCGCAGGACTTTAGAAAAGTACAATCCATATGGACATGTCTATACTACGACGGTGCAAGATAGTTTTCAAGTGTTGTCATTCTTATCCGATTGATTATTGATTGTTTTCTCTTAGATCTGATCAATGAATGTTCTAGTAGCCCCTGTATGAATGGAGCGACCTGTATCAACAGCATCAACATGTATGTTTGCAGTTGCCCTGTATTATATGTTGGAACACAGTGTGAAAGTAGACTAGGTAAGCCCAATCCATATCAATGAAATTTGTATAAAACAATGTGAATATACTTTACATTTAAGCATTGAACAAATCACAGTTACTGGTCATGAATATTGTCAATATCAGAATCACTGTTACTATTATCATCATTATTATGATTATCATCATCATTATTATCAACATTATTATCGTCATCATCATCATCATCATATTATCATTATCATCATTATTATTGTTTTTGTCATTTATAATTAAAGCAGGCAGACTTGCCCAGCTATTACCATTATTTTTTCACTAGCCAATCAAATAAATTGTTTTAGAAAGCAAACCTTTCAAACAATTTCTTTTTTCAAAGCAAACCAAATCAATTTGTATCTTTGAATACTATATACCCAATTGAAAACCTACAAGCAACACCTATATTGTCACTTTTCTGTGGCTGCTGAAAGTAACTTGACAGAAAACAGATCCATTCACTATGGATTGCTTAATAAATATTTACCATCGTTATCAGATAGTTGTCAGAATTATCCTTTTTTTTCTATTTTTTGGAACTAAAAAGTTTTTTATTGTTGTTTTTTTTCTTTCAGAGGAAAACCTTTGCTACAGTAACCCATGTCCAAGTGATGCACAGTGTGTGAATAGTGCTAATACATATTATTGTATCTGTCAAGCTTTGTCATTGGATCCAAGGTGCTATTCAGGTATGTTGTCTCAAATATCTAACCAATCAAATAATTTGTTTTAGATTTTCTTTTATTCATTATGCTATTTTGTTTTGTTTTTTATGTTGCAATAGGTGAATTATTTTAGGGTTGTCTACAGGTATTGGTTTATCAGCGTATCCCAATCATAGATCACTACCAGCATCATCATTGATTTTGACTATTTTCTATTAGGTCCGATGCCCGGAACTGCTTGTGACAGCAACCCTTGTGCCAATGGAGCTCTCTGTACATCCAGCTCACTGACTGAATTCACATGTACTTGCCGAGATGGTTGGATGGGTGAAAGATGCAATGATGGTTAGTGTACACATGAAAATGGAAAAATTTGAAGCAATAACACAACCTTTGTAGGAAGGCAACAAAATGAAAAAAAAAAGACCAAAATATAATGTGCTGAACTTATATTTCTGAAATAAATTTTAAAAGAACCATCTTATTACGAATTTGAAACATTCCTGATTATCGCAACATGGTATGCATTATTGCATTTCATTTGCCAGCTTTTCTAAGCGTTGATTTTTAATAACTGTGGTACAAAATTTGTTAGAAATTGATCAGCGGTTATTGCAGATGTAATGGACATAATGTTAATTCTTCAGGTTCTAAATGCCCAAGTGAATTAATATTTAAATAGAATTTTCACGAATTATGGGTTTCAGAAATCCATTAAATAATACCTTCAAAATGCTACATTCTTCCCACTGTGGCTCTGCCCCTAGGAACCGCAAGGGGCCCTAAGCGGCTGCCAACCTAAGGCTTAATTCCTTTGGTCGCAAATGCACTCCCCCTCCCCTTATCAAAAATTTTGCCTTCCAGTCGTCAGCATCATGCTATTTGCTAGTTCAGTTCTCGATATCAATGTACGCAACATAATTGTATTAAAATGAATTTTTTCTGCCTTTCAGATAGAGATGAATGTGGTAGTAACCCTTGTCAAAATGGTGGAACTTGCTTGAATTCTGAGAATATGTACACTTGCATATGTCGAGGACCATTCAGCGGTACCAACTGTGAAATTGGTAGGATGGCAATCAATAACCAGTGCAATCTGCTAATTAGTAGTTTCTATAATGCATTCATTCATCTGCATTGAAATTCAGGCAGATATACATAACGACATGATGTTAAAAATTAATGATTAAAAGAAAGAACAGAATTAAGGGTGAATGCCTGTAGGTTTTCGAAGACGATGACATTTTTTGTATAATTTTGTTGATGTAGAACTGATTATTTTCATGAGTACTTCTACACTTAAACATACAGCACCCTTACATCCGTATTATATCATTCCGCATCTTTATCCCTGACACAAGTAATTTATTGTTTTATACAGGAACCGAAACATTCATTTGCGATTCCAGTCCATGTATGAATGGAGGGACATGTCTTAATCCCCACACACAGTTTCCTGATGAGCAGTTCAAATGCATTTGTGAGCATGGCTATATTGGTACATTCTGTGAGATTGGTAAGCCTACACATTTTTTACGTATTCATAATTCGCATACTTATATTAGGGAGGAGGAATACATAAATAAGAATGACATATTTTTTTTATTAGTTAAAAAGTTTGGTGGATGTATATATTAACCAAACAATTATATTTGTTTTCTTTTACTATTTTGTATTGTCCTGATAAACTTTTTCTCTTTTTTCTTTGCAGATGTCAATGAATGCGACAGTTTTCCATGTTACAATGGGTATGAATGTATTGATGGATTAAATTCTTACATATGTCAATGCCCAAGCAACATGGGTGTTGATTGCAGAGGCAGTAAGTCATCAAATTTTACTACTTGATGATATTTGTAACCTATAGTTTATATAATGAGGATATGAGAATGATACAGGAATGTTGATCAAAAATTAAATACTAAAAACAACAAAAGGCATGCAATCAGAATAATTCACAGACATGTTATTAAATGGATTTGTATAGCTTAATTGTTAAGATGCTTGCCTTCTAATCTCAGGGTCCTGGCTTCAATTGCTGTGAGAACAGCACTTTTTCTCCCAACTAAAAACAACTCGACTCCCCAACTTCATAAATCATCAAGTTAATTGTTGTTAAGTGTAAATTTAAAAAAATTACAGTATAAAAAAACATTCACATAAATAAATTTATACACCACTTTGTAAAGTTATGTTGAAATTAGACTAGTTAAAACTACCTGTTTAAGACTCTTGTAGCAATCTGCCTGTGGTGCTAAAGTGAAACCAATGATTGTCACTGAATGAACAACTCGGTTTAAAAAAGAAATTTATTTATGAATTTATTCAACTTCCGTTATAGAGGGTTGCACTTTCATATAGACTGGTATTAAAGGTCCCTCAACAAAATTAAAATGAATAAGAAAAACAACAGAGAAGAAATATCAAAACAAATAAATCATTAATAAGAATACGATTCTATCTTGCGCACAGCTATTGGACTTTGTCAAACACAACCATGCAAGAATGGAGGAACGTGCAGCGAGGAGAATGGCAAATTTGTGTGTAACTGCGTTGAGAATTGGACAGGCACTACCTGTACTGAAGGTTAGTGTGATTAATAGTCTTTGTCAATTTTTATCTATACCGAGATCCAGCCATTTTTTCCCATAGCATTGTTGTTTTTCAGTATTTTTATTATTAATATTTAATTGTTTAATTCTTTTCATTATGACAATGTGGGGTTTGTTTTTATTTATAAAAAGATATCGTGGTTTGGGCAGAATTTAGTGGTGCACCATCTTATCCACTGCTGTAGTATGGTAGTAGAGAATGTTCCTGTGGTATATTATCATATCAGTATTCTTGCAATTCATAATATGTATCTAGCACAAATTTTGTATGCCTGTATATTCTTTAAAAATGTACCAAATACGTAATGATATATTTGAAATAAATCATTACACTGATTTCTATTTGCAGTTGATAATGCTCAGTTATACTGCACAGCTGATGAGAAGGGCATGTGTCGAAATTCAGGCACATGCTACAAGGAGAATGGCGAGGCGCTATGTATATGTCCACCTGGCCTATCTGGCAGCACCTGTAATGAAAGTAAGTCTCTACATTTTCTGATTTTAGGGGCAGGGGTTGTGCCATCATGAGATCTGGAGAAAATTTCCTCCATCAGACAAGTATGGATCCAGCCTTATCGTCCGATACCATGACAAGGTTGTTAGACTAGAAATAATCAACTTACTGATACAAACATGTCATTGTTATTGCCAGTCCTAAATATTGTGGTGTAAAAGTACACTTTTGGGGCCATCCTAAATTAAACCATAAAATTTTTCTCCTTGATCCCACATCAGGGATTTTTTCTGGGACCCTGACTGAGGCTCTATGTAGACCTTTAGTAAGTAACCCCCCTCCTCCCATCGAGTTTCTTGGACCTTCTGTTGGCAATTTTCTTGAGCCACCACTCAATTGGAAAAAGCCACTTCCAGCATCGAGGAATTAATTAAAATTTTTCCATGCTTCCAGGATGCCAGGTTTAATGAGCTTTTATGATGCATCTAATTAATTGTAGTTTGCTATATTATGTAGTGACATTCAAGTCAGCTGACTTCTGGAGGACAATATCATAATTTTTAATAAAAAACTAATTGATTTATTCTCTACAGAACTGGGGAGCCCAGCTGCTTGTGAGGGAAATAAATGTGTTCACGGAGAATGCTATATCAGTTCTGTCCTTGAGCCAGATGCACTACTGTACACATGTGCGTGTGAGCCAGGTTACGAGGGAAAATACTGCCACCTAGGTAAGAAAAATACTACATTGGTGTAAAAAGCCATATTGTAGTTTACAGAACATATAGCTAATTTGAATTTTAAGGCATATGTAGGACTTAAACTATTGTTTTCTTTTTTTAAAAAAAATGTTATTACTTAAAATTTGTGGATCTCTGTGTTATGTGGTAACCAATACTGCAACTAATAAAAAACTGGAAATTTTGATTAAATCCAATCCAATCCATGTCTGTTACTTTGAAATGCCACTGAGACTTGCCATTGGTATCCATGTAATCCTGTGTCTCATGAATATTATTTTATTTTTCAAACTTTTATATATTTATTGGCATTTTATTGGTGTCTTATTCAAGTTAGTCATCAAAATTGGTCTCTATTTAATATCTAGTTATGTATGACTATTTCAAATTGTCCTGTTCCCATTAATAATATAAATCCTATGGATATAAATAATATAAATATCAGACCTTTTACTTCTTGGACGAATCTGCGTGTCCCAATGCCAGCACCAGCACCTGCAGGTTTTACTCAATTCTGAGGTTTAGTGCAGTAATACGAACAGAACAAAAGAGACTGTTCTATTTGCTGTTTCTATGTCCTTGGCTCATGTGCACCCATGTTCATGTTATAATCTAGTGAAATGAAAATAGATACAGTCAAGTTGTCATAATTTTTAATACTATCTGTGATGTAAACAAGTTATTCTTAACATTGCAGATATAAATGAGTGCCTTGGCAATCCATGTAGGAATGATGGGTCGTGCGAAGACCAAATCAACGCCTTCACTTGTCATTGTTCTGAAGACTTCAGTGGTACTTTTTGTGACACGCGTAAGTATATATAGTAAACAATTGAATTTCATATACTAAATGATGATTATTACCTGAAGGTTCACATTATTGCAACAAAAATTACCTGTGGGGTATGATATCTGCAAAAAGGTCAAACAACCATGCATTGATAAAATAATTAGTGCATGATTTAGGATAGGAAAATACTGTTAAAGGTAAAATGGTTTTAACATAATTTATATGAATCTTAATGCTTATACAAATGTTTGCATTACAATTAACAGAAAATATTGTAATACTATTAGTCAGTTAGTTACTAGTCAGTATTTGCCATTGGTTTTACATGTGACTTTGTGGGCTCTATGAGCATGATATTTATATTTTTTAACATGGAGAATGCTTTAACCTGAGCTGAAGTAATCATTTTCAATCTCATATACTCATCCTATGTGCCTGCCTCAAATGCAAACATGCAGAGGTCTATATCGTGTTGGCTGTGATGTAGAGACTAGCAGCATTTGTAGATGCTTATATCATAAAATAATGTCTGTCATTTTAATATAATTAATAAAACATAGGACTAATTTACTATAAATATATACTATTGAAACAGAAAACAAACTATTACTATTAAAATGAAAATGAATCTAATAAATTGTTTAAATGGCCAACGTAACAGATAATGTGAATATTGGATCTTTTAATTTTATTCTTAATATATGAATTTCTTTACAGGGGTTACAGCATTGGAACTTACAAATACAACTCCTGCACCAGGGACACTTGAAAATACATGGGTAATCATCTTCATCATCACAGGCGTGGTAGTCGCCATTTTGATCACGCTTCTTATTGCGATGGCAGTGATTTGGCGCAATCCTCGTAAATAAACACATGGCATCAGATGAGACAAGCACACATGTAAATAATAGTCATGTGATAATAACTAAGAGAAACCTTGAGTAGTTAAACATTTCTACAATATGTGTTATGCAACTTAAATTTTCCAATTGAACAATGTACCATTTTTTTTTATCGTAGCAGATACCAAAATAATACATAATACTGTTCTATTAACTTAAATTAGTTAATATTAATAATAACTTAAATTAGTTAATATATTATTTATAAAAATATTCACCTTTTATATATAAATTATGTAAGTGATGCAAAAAAAATCTCAAACGTAATTTGCTGATGATGATTCGTTTGCCATGTCACCTATAATGTGGCAAACAACAAAAAGAATTCAACTGAAGACATAAAACTGAAACGTTGTTAGTCTATTTAGGATATCAAAATTTGGTTTCCATAAAATTGCTACACTGTTGCTACAGTGTTTTCACTATAACTTTTACACTGCATGGCTATCCCTGGCACAATCGGGAAGACTTGCTGTGTCGACTGACCAATCAGCATCAGTGACTGACAGACGTTAGCATGTAGCAATTTTATTGGAACCAGGTATGAGAGTCTGTCATTCATATTGGAATACATACCCCATGTGTTGCTCAGTCAGTATAGCACCTGCTTTCCAAACTGGAGGTCTTGGGTTCAAATTGTGATAGGGACTAATGACTTTTCAATTGGTATTCTATAAAGAAATCAGGTGCCATAGTTGTTGAATATATTTTGTCTATCAAATTGCTACTGCTTATTAAAATTAAATATGATTAATTTAATTTAACAGATGTAACTTCTAAAATGTTTGAACTGCTTGAATGCATTGTCATAAATACTTAATTCACTTTTATACTTTTTAACTCAACTGCAATATATTGCACTGTGACTTAAGGACTTTAATGATTAATTATTATATGTAAATCACTGTATTTTATTAGACAATTATATTTGTCCTTAGTTTCCCTTTCCCTACTTCCTAAAGAAATCAGTTTGTATTTCCTATGAAATACAGTATCTTTGATTTTGTTGTTTTGTTTATATTGACTATTATAATAATCTATGTAACAGACTAGTACTGTTTAATAATAGAACCTACAGTTGTTAAACTAAAATTCAACTGGTGAAGTACTATTTTTGTAAAAAAAAAAAAAATAAATAAAAAAACAAAAAAAAAAGATTTATATAAAATTTGCAAATTGATAGGATGGGAACAAGGCGAAAATTATTAGGAAGCATTTCAGAATATTTAATCTGTGCTTGGCTGGGTTTACCGATGTTTACTTGGTTTACTGCAGTTTACTTGGGTTTGTCAATGTTTACCAGGTTAAACAGAAGTTAACCTTAAACAGAAGTTAACACGGGTTTTATCAATATTTTTTTTGGTGTGCCCAATATTTATTTGGTTAACTAAAAATACTTGGGTTACCAATTTGTGCTTCATGGTTTATCAATGTTGGCTTGGTTTACCAACGTTTACTTAGTTTATAATGTTTACTAAGTTACCAATGTTTTGCTTAATTGTTTACTTGGAATACCAATGTTTGCTTAGCTTAAGTAGACACTTTAAACAGGTTTTTCGACAGAGCTATGAAGAGAATAAAATAAACTTACTGTGTTTGTTCATACATAAATGATTACATTTTTATATAAATGCATTTGAGGTGTAAATAATCACATATGAATACTTTTTTAAATATTTTCATTAGGATTTACCTTTTTCAGCATCTTGTATATTTTATTAATGTATAGAGAGCGTTTTTTCTATTGTTATATCTTGTATAATAGGATTTAAAGACAACCCTGCATATAGCTAAAATTCTACTAAAATTGTTTTTACACAGTTTGAGTCCAACAGACTACAATATGTAATAATCAAAATATAATAATAAGATGTAATTTACCAAGCGTTTGGACAGGCTAGGCTAGGGTGCAGCAGCTGTTTACCACTGTCAACTTCTGATAGAATTTCACTTGGGTTGACTATGTCAAAAACGATAGATGTACTTTGGGACATTATTACATTGTTACGGATCTGTTGATAACCACATTAAGAGAATGTAGACGTGGTTTTGTTTTCATAATGTATAACCAGACACTGTCTTTAGAGGTATACTTTGTATATAAGTGGTTATGTGCATTATGTGTTTATAGATTTACTAGAATTTTGCAATCATTCTCAAAATAAATTTTTCTTTTGAGATAAAAATAATTGTCTCAATATATTACAATATTTCATAAAAGAACAGATGTATTAGGAACTGGAATAATATAATAATAATGATGGTGATGATGGTAATGATGATGATGGTGACAGATGATAATGATGATGGTTATGACCAACAGAACAACACGATACATTAACTTGTGGCTGTGTTCATTCCCTATTTACAACATGAAAAATCAGTTTATTAGTGCAGGGGCTTATGTATTTTTGTTTGCATGGTTTAAACTACCCCAGCCGAAGACCGTCCCAGTATTTATGAGTGAACTTTCTATTGTTTTTCTCTGTTTAAATGTAATGTATGTCTACTCAAATCAGTAAGAAGAAAATGCCATATAAGGGCCTTCCTCAAAAAGGGTCTTTATATTTGAAGTCGGAAAACCAGCGAAGGTGAGGGATAGATGATCTGGGGAAACGGGAACTTGGACTTCCCATCGAAAAATTTAGTAGCGAACACTATACTTTTACAGTCTCAGGGTGAAATTTCCTGGCATAGATTGTAGAGAAATTTGGATTTTCATATCTGGAAATCTATGGCGCCGTCACTGCATTACGTCCGATTGGGGCTGTGGGAGGATCTGGTGGTGAGGTTTCGTCAGATCTACGCCATATTGTCAAAATTCAGATTTCCGAATCCCAGATTACCTAGTCCACTTTGCCGAAATCCCATTTTGCCGAAACCCAGTTTGCCGAAAGTCAATCTAAAGCAGTGAACCATTAAAAACAGCATAACATTCGTGATGGAGCACTTTTTACCGTGACTGCGTTTGTACGAACTGGTGGAGCCAGCGGAAAGTAAGGGTATAGACATAGATATCTATTTATTTATCCACAATTGGAAATTGTTCTTTTCCACTCTCAAAGAAGAAAGGAAATTAGGCTACATGATTTATCGGGGGGGGGGGAAGGGTTTTTTTTTATCATCACAATATTAGAAAATAACGTTATATGGATAGGCAAATTATCATTTTTGGTCCCGGACGATTTCCTCGAATAAATGCCCTAAGGTGTTTATTGTTGGGAATGGTTTTTGAGGGGAGTTTATTCGAGGGAGGTATTTATTTTTTTTTTGTAAAATGGATACATACTGTGTATACTAAACGCCCCTTAATTCCACTGTAATTGAAATCTAATTCTACTGGAGTAAAACATTAGTAGAAAGTGTTGGGAATGATGTTTCTATTAGATCTGTTTACACGGGTACAAATACGGGAATGATCCACCCATCATGTTTTCAAAAGCACAGTATGCTGCACTTTTGTACAATGGGGACGACAAATGATTCGGCAAACTGGCTTGTCATGATTTCGTTGAACTAATTTCGGCAAACTGGGTTTCGGCAAAGAGGCCATTAATTCGGCAATCATGGGTTTCAACAAACTGGATTTTGACAAACTGGTCGGATACCGTTTCGGCCCCAGTGCTAGACCAATTCGAGGGTGGACGCTAATAAGGGGTGAGCGCTAGACTAATAATTTGTTGTATGTTTACCCTGGTAGGGCACCACTGTCCTTGACAGCATTTTTTTCTTCATACACCTGGTTGGTTGTGCACCTGTCTCATATATCCATTACGGTAGAAGCAGGCGTGTATGTGAACTACCGGAACTGTTTTGTATACATGTTTTCGTAAAAACATCGTCTGAAATACTGAATTTTGAAATGGTGTTTCTTCTAAGTAAGAAAATATACATATAGTTAAGTAGAAAGTGTACCATACTGTAGTTGTACAAGCCTGTATGCCTTCATGGTGTTAGAATTAATTGTGGTATCAATTGTTGTGTTGTTGTTCAGGCCTACATTTTCAGACTGGAGACTGTGCTCTAAAATTGTTTTGAGTCCTTTTCATACAATGGCATTAAACCGGAATATCTGAGTGAAAATGTAAGCAACAGTAAAAAAACAGAGCTAAATATTTGTTGTTGTGTAATGACATACGTTACCGTATAATAGTCGTAGGTATATGTTTTTGCAACCTACATTCAAATGTAAATCTTAGTACTTTTTAAAAGTAGGCTAAGTGAAATCATTTAATTAATTTATTAAAGTGTAATACTATTTATATAGTGACTTAAAAACGATCCATGGGTGTTAAAATGCGTTTAAATTTAAATACAGTAGGCCTATTATAACATCGATATATATATATATATATATATATATGTCAAACAAAGTTCTGTATCTGTCTCAAAAATAAAATATTTATTGTACTATTACTTTCGACCATAGGTCATCATCAGGTACTGATAGGGTAGTGGAATGAACAGGGTTATATAGAGAACATATACAAAAGAAGCGGTGGTATCGGTAAAGCCTAAACGGCGGTGCTGACGGCATAATGAAACAATGAACATAGTAAGACAATACAAACAGCTACGCCTAGAAGGCGTGTAATGACATAGGTCTAAAAAAAGAAAACAAATCAAAGGCAAAATAAAAGTCATAGTACAATGGTCACAGAATGCATCATAGCAAGATATGGATTTGTATATCCAGAAATGCAGACATGATATTGGACAATTTAATATGAAACATCGGATCAAATCACGTAACATGTCTACTAGAGAGTTGTTGGCGCTACGAACTTTGAGAAATAATCACGATTATGTTATTAAGCGAGCAGATAAAGGTGGAGCTACAGTTGTTTGGAGAAGAGATTTGTATATTTCAGAGGGAGAACGTCAGTTATCTAATCAAGCTACTTATCAACCACTTCCAGATGATCCGACTTCTAGTGATATAGCAACTGTAAAACAGACTATCAAATCTTTAATTAGGAATAATCAACTTCCCGCTACAGCTAACAGTTTAATCAACACCGATGCTACCTGTCCAAATTGGTATATGTTACTTAAGATTCATAAACCTGATAACCCTGGAAGACCTATTGTGTCGGCGTGTAATAGTCCTACTGTTGTCATTAGCGAATTCGTGGACAGTGTTTTGCAACCTATTGTTCAGAAATTACCTACATATATTAAGGACACTAATGAAGCCGTTAAAATGTTTGAAAACTTCGAATTTAAACACGCTGGAGGATATATATTTACTATGTACGTTAAATCTTTATATACATCTATACCTATCAACGATGGTTTAGTCGCACTTAGATATTTTTTGGAGAAAGACGGTAACAAACCCCGTATATGCTCAGTGGACACTATAATTCGGCTTTCAGAACTGGTCTTATGTACTACAGCATTTGCCTTTAACCATAAATATTATCGCCAAATGTCTGGAGTTAGCATGGGTAGCAAAATGGCACCATCGTTTGCATGTCTCTTCATGGGTCATCTCGAACACCAAATCTTGGCACAATTCAAAGGACCTAAACCCGAACTATTTAAACGTTATATTGATGACTGCATAGGGGCTACCAGTGGGAGCATTGAAGAATTACATGGATTTATTAATTTCGCTAACAATTTTCACCCAGCTATTGCCTTCACTTATGAAATTTCCTCGAATTCGATGGCTTTCTTAGATATTAAATTATCTATTGAGGAATTACGGCTCACTACATCAGTGCATTATAAATCTACGGATGCACATACTTACCTCAATTACGCTTCTTCGCATCCACCATCGTGCAAACAGGCCATACCATATTCACAATTTCTGAGACTCAGAAGGATATGTAGTAATGACGAGGACTTTAAATCAAAAACCCAAGAAAAAACATTTAAAGGTTACGTAAACAATTTGTTTTTAAAGTTCTCATCTGTGTGGTTTACGGTACTACCTGTCTCTTATACACATCTAGATGTGTAACACCACACAACGCACGCCTCTGGTTTTAACTTACCATCCTACCTCTAAGAAGATTGCTAAGATTATAACAGACAATCATTATATTTTGGAATCAGACCCAGCCACTAAAGACATTTTTAAGGAGCCTTCTATGATTTCTTATAAACGTGATCGTAGCTTGAAGGACCAGTTAGTTATTTCAAGATTGAAAGCAATACATCCAGCAGATAATGTAGGCATGACTAGGTGTAATAGAAGTAGATGTAAGACATGTAAGCATGTTGTATGTATGGATACTATCGTAGGACCTTCCAGTAATTTTTCTATTCGAGAGAAATTTACATGTACCTCTAGTAATGTTATATATGCTATTATTTGTGTTAAATGTAATAAGGTTTATATAGGAGAAACGAAAAGGAGGCTTGGAGATAGATTCGTTGAACATTTGTGCTCTATCAACCTTAACATATCAGGTCTTCCTATAGCTGAACATTTTAATGATAATCATGATATTAATAACGATATAGTAGTTACCGGTATCAAACTATGTAATTCATCTGAATTTAATCGTAGACGTTTGGAGGAGCGTATTATTTTTCAACTAGGGACTTTGAATCCTCATGGTCTGAACGTCTCATTTAAATCTTTTAGAGATTAATTTGTTATTTTATTTATCTTGCTATGATGCATTCTGTGACCATTATACTATGACTTTTATTTTGCCTTTGATTTGTTTTCTTTTTTTTTAGACCTATGTCATTACACGCCTTCTAGGCGTAGCTGTTTGTATTGTCTTACTATGTTCATTGTTTAATTATGCCGTCAGCACCGCCGTTTAGGCTTTACCGATACCACCGCTTCTTTTGTATATGTTCTCTATATAACCCTGTTCATTCCACTACCCTATCAGTACCTGATGATGACCTATGGTCGAAAGTACTAGTACAATAAATATAGCAAAAGAACAATCTGAAGAAATTTTACTTGAGGAGCTTGAAAAAGTGAGTTTCAAAAATATATGAATAGTTAATATTATTATATCAAACATTATTTTATACAACCTGTGATCTGTAGTAGATATAATTACAAAGTTTTATAATTATCAACTTGAAAATTAAATTAATCAATATATAAATTATTTTTTGAAAAAAGTTTCTACATTTACCCCATTAACATTTCAGGCAGATGTACTATGTGTTGTGTATGCAGTAGACGATGCCAAATCTATCAACTCCATCACAGAGTACTGGCTGCCGTTGATCCGAAGCACCCTCGGACCTGACCACAACACCCCACTGATCCTGGTAGGCAATAAGTCGGATCAAGCAGACATCAACAGTTTGGAGACGGTTGTACCTATTATGAATGATTATGCAGCTGTCTCTTATACACATCTAGATGTGTATAAGAGACAGCGTATATATATACAAATCAGGATAGGATGTAGGGAAAATATAAACCGTCTTTCGAAATGCTATATAAATAAATAGATAAATAATAATCTCAGATAGGAACATAAGATATAATGATCATACCAAGTACAAAATGGGGGAGAGTTCATCTAAAACTCCAGATGCCGGGGAAAAGCAAGTTGGACCCCAGCTTTATATTAGGACGATACAGGTGTCCGATAGAGTATTGGTTAAAATGTTAAAATTTAATATTCGCTTTTAAGTACAAAAAAAAAAATGTGTATTCAGTACATTTTCGACTGTCTTAAAATTTGGACCTTTTTCGATTAAATTAATCAATTTTATTTTCTGAATTTTTATTCCTATACCTTATGAAAGTATGAATGTCATAAAGTTTCCAAAAAGTGTTTTTAATCTAATGAGATTTATACTTAATTAGGCCTAACTTAACACAGATGCCAAAATTAAAATAGTTTAATGCACTAGTTCAATCTCTTTTATTTCAGTGTCTCAGGTCAAATCTACCGATTCATCAATAAGTGCGAAGTCGATGTACAATTATTGTCAGAGGAACATGATGTGTATTAAATTGCCGGAACACAAGATGCTATCAATAGCTGGATTTATGTGGTTTTAGTTCTACAAATAATCGCGAGCGGATATTTATTAGGATTTATATCACTGGATCGCCGGAATTGAATAAAATTTGCCAATTATGTTTCTTATACAACGAACAAGCAATTCTCGAACGATATTACATGCTTAAATATAATTAGGCCTAAGCATTATATATATTATATTATATTATATAAAACTAGAATCTTTATATTCTATTTATATTACTTTTATATAGTTCTGATGTAACATTTCCGAGTATGATTGTAAGAAATAAAAGTAAACTGTAGTGTAATTTATAATACATCATTTTGTGTGTATTTCCTTTGTCGTAATTTCATTAATAATGATATTATATATTTAATGAGTATTAATCAGTATATAATCGAATTAAATACCGGTACATTATAATCACTTCGAATATTCGAATATAGCACTATTACAGGCTACTATATCTTCACAAATATACAAATATATTCACATGACACCAACAAATTACGAAACTTTTCAGAGGAAGGTGCTGTCGAATTTTACAAACAGGAAATGACGTCGGTTGCTAGGCTACAGCTCATGCATATTCAGTAACACCTGTGCTCATTAGACTAACAATAAAAACTTTTAGCTCAGTTTTGACAAAATCGACCAAAAAGATTTTATTGTTAGTCTAATTAGAACAGGTGTTACTGAATATTCATGATTATGCATGACCTTGTTGCTTAGCTACCACGTCATTTCCGGTTTTATGTTGGTGTTGAGGGCGTCTTCGAAAGAATTGCTAGTTTAAAGTAGGACATATTGATGAAGCAATTCTTCACTTTTGGTTTAAGCTTATAAGCTTATTATAATAAGGCTATTTTAGCAATTGAAGTTATAACAGTAAACATAGACATTAAATAAGATGAGACGAAATGCACAATTCCATTTGATATTTATTTTCAAGCATTAAAATCAAGTTGTGATATATATACATTTTATATTTATATACTATAGGCCTATATCGTGTACATCCGACAAAAATCAATAAATCTGAATTTAATCCTCAAATGTTACCGTATATCTTATTATCTTACATGTCTAGATTTTCTTTACAACAAACGGGTTATTTTCTCTATTAATAAAATAAACATTAGCAGTAATAGTACAATATTAATAAACATAAAGGCTACAAGAATTACTACATATTGCTAGCATTATTTTTGAGATTATTGCAGAGGAAAACATTTAAAAAATAAAATTTACACTATATTTTAATTAATTTCATATCCATAATTTTTGCAGGAAGCTTGATGAGTGACACAATTTTTGGCTATCTATGAATAATTGGTAAGTTCTGTTGCCCTTTCACGATTGAGTCCGGACATTCTTTCCTGATAGTGTGGCTTTGTCTACATCACTGGAATAGAAAATATTGAGAAAAAATTAGGAAACAGAGAAAGAATTATAACGGAGTATTATCAAAACATAATATATAAATAAAAACAGAGGCAGAGCCAGTAGGTTTGAAATAGTGGGAGCCCACGAGGAGGAACTTTGCCGGATGAAGGGTTCCCACCACTTCAGCGGGGCTGAGGTAAGATACTTCGATTATGGCACCTCTAGGTGGCCAGAAATGGCACTCACAGATTTTAAATTTTGATGTAATATTATTTTTTTCTCCAATTGTTTTACCATTTTAAAAGATTTAGGGTCGGGGGGGGGGGGGGGGGGGGCCGGGGT